AGGCCGGCAGCCTGTCACGGCATCGTTAGCCGGTGTTACCTGTTTCAAGCCGATGAGGACACAGTTAATGCTACAACAGCTAGCCAGCCTCGTAGCCAGATATCCTCTCTCCTCAGTAGTAAAGGAGCTATGGCTGCGTCCTGACCCTTTTTCAGTCACCTAGCTGAAGCTGCTGGTAAACAGGGACCGACGTCACAGGACGACCGACAGCGAACACTGATTTAATGATTTTAGCTAAAGTTAATACTCACAGGACTTTCCTGGTGCTGTCCACTTGCTGGTCAGGTAACGTTGAGTTGTGTCAGCTGATCACTGCTGACTGGGCTGGTTCCTGCCCTTCAAAATAAAACACATGTCGCAGATGCTGTGTCGAAGTCTGCTTCCTCTCAAGCGTGACTGTGACGGTGGGGGAGGGGCAATACGCATACACACACAGAGGAAACGACACTGTTAGAAAAATAAATACATATTTTCTTAACTATTGAAGGGGGAACTCGTTTCCAAACGCCTAAATTAAATAATTTAAATAATTTTGCATAATAATTAGACGCTAAAAAAATGTTTTATACATTTTTAAGGCATTCACATAAAAATAAATTAACTCTTTCACACACAGTGGTCACTACAGCAGACAGCTATTTCAAACCCATCTTCTTCTATATACATGGGTTTGATGCTATAGTTGCTTTTAAGTCACTGAAGTGGACCCTGGTGTGTCATGCCATACACTGACACCCACTGGCCAGGTGTTGTAAGTGCAAAACAAATTTCCCAAAACAAAGATGGCCGACGGAATTTAGGAAATGTGAAGCTCAGAAATATTTTGCCAATCCTTTTATGATAAGAGGCCCTTAAAAAGTAACATGTAAGGAGTTATACAGTTGGTAAACTTCCCAAGTGGGAAAGGGGTGCTACTCATAAACTAGAGGAAAATAAAAAAAACTTCAACAGGGAAACTCATTTCCAAATAATAAAATTCAACTTTTCTACATAATAACTGAATGATACACGTTTTTAAAAAAGGGTTTTATACAGCTTTGAGCATTAACAAAAATATATCTGAACCCTTTCACACATAGTTGTCACTACAGTGGACAGCTATTTAAAACCTATTTTCTTGTACATGCTTGGGGTTTGATGCATATAAGTCACTGCAGTGGATCCTAGTGCGTCATGGTGTTGGGTTTATTTTCAATAGTCACAGTGTTTAATAAAGTATAAAACTGTTTATTTCAATATCTGACCATTGTTGTGAAAAAACTTAAATAATAAATAAATAATGAAACAAAACAAAAAGTCTGCGATTTGTTCATTTAGAAACTCTGCATCAAATGTCTTTGCTCCATATTTAAAGCAAGGAATGTCCTTTTGTCTGTAGAGACAGTCTGACCATAATAAAGTCCAAAGGTCCTCAAACAAGACAACAATAAAGACCCAATGTCCTCAAATGAGTACTTCCTAATTAACAGCATCTCATCTTGTTACTGTTGCTAAATTTGGTCACATGCCTATGATATATCAAATTACAATCATTATTAATCATAAACAAGTTTCAACCATTACATCTGATCAGGTTTTAAACCTTGTTTCTTTGCAGACTGACTTGGCAGAGATGGCTTACTTACTTACTCCTCTTCGTCCCCTATGGGACATAAGGCTTCAATGAGCACTCTCCATTGCATTTGGTCCCTCGCAGCACGTTGGGCCTCTCCCCATGACAGGTTCATCTATTCCAGCTCTTGTGTCACAGCTCTGCGCCAGGTGGTTTTGGGCGTCCCAGGTTTTCTTTTGCCTGGTGGTGTCCATCTTAGGGCAACTTTTGTGATGTGGTCCTGCTCCATCCTCAACACATGTCCTAGCCATCTCAGGCGTCTGTGCGTAATCTCCTTGGTGATGTTCCGGCTTCCTGTTTTCTTGTACAGTTCATTGTTGGAGATCTTATTAGGCCAAAAGATCTTGCATATTCATCGGAAGCATCCATCATGGAACACTTCCATTCTCCTCATGTCTGTTTTGACAACTCGCCAGCTCTCTGAACCGTACAGCAGAACAGACTTTACATTACTGAGTTGGGAGAAGGCACCCTGAGCCTTTCCCAGCCTTGCTTTGATGTCTTTTGATGCCCCGCTGTCCTTACTGATGAGACTGCCCAGATAGGTGGAATCTTCCACAAACTCAAGTGGTTCCTCATTAACAAGGATGGGTGCTGTGGGGATTCAGTTGACACACATCACTTATGTTTTGGAGGTGTTGATACTGAGCCCAACTTGTCTGGCAAAGTTGTTCAGCCTGTCAGTTTTAGCCTGCATGTTGTACTGGTTGGTTGATAGAAGAGCAGGGCAGAGATGGCTGCCATATTGTTTTTACATGGATTAGTGTATTGTGCTCTTACTACCACTAGATTGGACAAAAGACTGTCCATGAACTAGGACAACTGGTCAAAAATAAGCATAATGAAGTATAAGGTGCAGCAAACCCAGAATGTGATGTCCTCATATGAGGACACAGGAGGATATACATGTCTCAGGAGGATATATATGCAGTCCTGTGCAGAGGAAGGTTTTGTGTAGGAATATGGATATTGTGAGTGAGTTAGACATGGACATGGACTTCGATGCAGAAGAGCTTGACTCATTTTGACAAAAAGAAATTGAAAGATGGATAAATTAGATGAAATGTTAGTGGCAATTAAGACATCGCAAATTCAAATGTTAAGACAATTTAATGGACTTATCAAACCTAATATTTATGAAATTGAATTTAAGGACCTGCAGACAGTGTTTCATTGCTAGATGATGTTATAAAAAAAAAAAAGAAAAGAGCCTGGATCTTCAACAGGGGGTCCTTACACTTAATACTTTTTAAAAAAATATTTTCTTTTGTTGTTGTTCTTTTAAAAATTTAAAACAAGTCTTTAACAGACATTAACATTAATTCAACATTTTTTGCCTTTTGCAGTAACTTGTCTTTGTGAAAGTTGAGTTTCTTCCCTCCCTCTATGCTTCTCTGGCCAATGCACTGTAGGTTTTGGTATTATATTTATTATCAAGTGTTTTTAGTTTGAAGGTTTTCTGGTCATATACAGCTACATTTGCAGGAAATATCTTGTGGGGTCTATTTTTGTAGTTCTAGATCTATTTTTTTCATCCACAGAGAAGAAGTTTGTGTTCCTAAAGGATGATGTGGTTACTTCTACTCAACATACATATTGTTGTGTAACTGTGTAACCGTACCTTTAGGCTCAGGTGGTAAAAGCACCTCAGACCCAGGCCACAGTGACGATCTGCTGTGCTGTCTCCCCTGACAACCATCTCCTAGCAACCTGCTCCAGTGACAGGAAAGTCAAGGTAAGCAGATGATTGTCCACTCACCCATTGTGACTGACATGAATACAGCAACAACAGGCAAGTAAACTCACACAAAACACAGCTTTCTTTCTTTTTTTCTGTGGGTGTTTTTTCCCTGTCACTGTATCGTAGAATTCTTGAGACTGTCTGTTACTGCAGGTGGAGAACAAGGAGCGAGCCATGCTACTCAGGGTGTCTGAGGAGGAGCACGAAGAGCAGTTCAACCACTGTACAAGACATGACATAACACCTCCTGCTGGCCACCTGCTTCAATGACACATTCTTGAATGTAGAGTTTCAAGTGTATATTTTGCTTGTAAACTACTTCAATTTCATATGTTTTATTATTATTATTATTATAATAACCTTCCCTCCTCTGTGTAGCGGTAATAGTAGTAGTAGTAGTAGTAATTTATTTTGGTCCTCATCAAGAATTTTCCAAGGGAATGCACATTATAAAGAATAAAAAAATAACAAGCCGTTAAATGACAAGGAAAAACCAAAAGGTGTTCATACTTACTCTCTCTAATCTCGAACCACTTCTACATACAGTTAGGAAGCAAATTGTTTTGTGCTTTGTAAATTGTCTGTGCAGTTTTAAGATTAACTAGATCACAAAATTTCACATACAAATAGAGCATGAGTTGGTTCATACAAATTAAATCAATTTATAATTCACGTACCTCTCTTCTGTAGCATTAAATTGAATTAGTGTAGATTTTGTGTGGGCCTCAACAGACTAGGTAATGTATAGAAATATGAGAGTATAGTGAGTTCAGGCTCAAGATATCTTTAGTTTGTCTTTATTGTTTTTACATTATTTATGTGTGCTCTGTCTTTTTCTTGTGTTTTTGCCATACATTGTGATTTGGTGGGTTGGACATCATCATCACTGACAACTTGCAGACAACAGCACTGGTATATTTTTATCTATACAGCAATATTGGGCAAACTTCCAGCCTACCTAAGCACCCTTCTGTGTGTCAGCTCTGGTAGAATCAGAACAGATCTGGGGAAAACGGCCTTCTCCTACTCTGCACCTTGGACATGGAACAATCTTCAAAAAGATCTAAACACTGATATCCATTGATGAATTTAAGGCTATCATAAAGAATGTGGTGACAAAGACATGCGCTTGTTTTTCTTGAGAGTCCACTATGTTTGAATAGTTGTTGTTTTACTGTGGATTTTTGCATTATATGTTGTATTTGTTGCATTTTAAATGTGTTCTGATTGGCTGCTACCTCAGCCGGGTCTCTCTTGTCAAAGACATTTTCAATCTCAATGGGACTTCCTGGTTAAATAAAGGTAAACCTGAGAGCTCAACGCATACAAACAGACAGAACACATGCAAATAAAGAAAATATCTTCACCAATTTGACAACACATGCAGAGGATTTAGAGAAAACTGCTGCAAAATGAGAGCTTTCTGTCTGCTTGTTTTCTCACTTCAGGTCGAGGGGGGACCAACTGTTTGGAGGTGGCATCTTATAGTTTTCAACAATTGCAAAAGATGCAAATGGTGGGTGTAAAAGTGGTGTCAGTAACTCTCCAAGAACTTTCACAAAAGGCAGAAAAGGCCAGCAGCACAGCAGGTGCATCAAAATAACCTCCAGTTCTCCAAATATTTTATCAACTGAAACAAACAAAACACACAGTTTTTTGTTTTTATTTTAAGCTATGCACATCTCTTATTTTAAGTTTGTATTTTGCATGATTGTCCAAACTTATTGCAAATATATTACATATAACTTTATCAGCATTATATAAATAAACATAAGCTATTTTTTCATTTTGTATGGTCCATATTCTATTTTTTTGTATTTTACACTGTATATCAATTCTGCTTTTGTTGAGCATGTGTGTTCCTGGAAGCTCAAATGGTTACCAGATCTTAATATACAAATCTGTCAAATGTGAAGCTAGTAGAAGCGATTCAAACACAAGCACCCGCAACATTTGCATATTTACAGCAACCTACGTGTCACCTACAAAAATGGTAACAGAGTGAAGCAAACACATTCCATGTTTTTACATGCAGAGAGAGACATGAAACACATGAAACAAAAACTCACCACTATACAAACCTGAAGCTATTTTTACAACGAGCTGAGCTGAACTAGAATTTGACACGATGGTAAATTAAAAAATGAATATTTTTATAATGGAAACATCTGAAATATTGTTGTTAGGTGTCACTACAGGGTTGTACATGCCATTTTCCATGTATTAAAACCTACTCCCATGCCACTGTTCTTCGCTTCAGGCGATGATAATATCAGATTTTAAAACCTTAGAGCTAGACTAGTGTTCCTTAGACTCTCTCCATCTTTCTACCTCCTCTTCCTCACTTCAGTTTGCTGAGGAATTCGATCAACCCTTGGTGAAATTCTCTGGGTTTGTCCATGTAGCAGGCGTGACGAGCTCCTTCTAGCTTGAGCACAAAGTGATGTGGAAGTTGCATGAGGTTCTTGTGGGACTGGGCACCCAGGTTTGTGTCCAGGGCTCCAAACACAATTAGAGTGGGAGTCTGAAATCAAAAGCACACAGAAGTGAGAAGACTACGAGACTACACAGAGTGGGAAAAAAAAAAAAAATCACACAAACACACACACACAGATACCAGCATACAGCTGTGTGAAGATACACAAAGCCCTCTGACATACGTGTGGGTGGTAAATCTACTCCAATGGGCGAAATTGTACCTACTGCATAAAAAGTTGCTGCTTTCAGGCTGTCTTATGTAAGATTGTAAAATGAGTATGTTTTTTAGTTGGACAAAACAATGTGTCACTTTGGACTTCTTTAAAAATTACAAGAGCCATTTTTAACTGCTGTTTAAGTTATACTTAAAGGTCCAATGTGTAGGTTTAAAGGGGATCTACTGGCAGAAATTAAATATATTATTCATAGTTATGTTTCTATTAGTGTATAATCACCTGAAGCTAAGAAATGCTGTGTTTTCATGTTCTTAGAATGAGCCATTCATGTCTACATGCAGAGTGGGTGGGGTCTTGTTCACACGTGAGAGTAGAATGGATTGTGAGATGGATCAGCGATGGATCTGCAGTGATGCAGGCGCTGCACTGGACTGTCATGGTGAAGAGAGAGCAGAGCCAGAGGGCAAAGCTTTTGATTTACTGGTCCATCTACGTCCCAACTCTCACCTATGGTCATAAGCTCTGGGTAGTGACTGAAAGAATGAGGTCGCACGTACAAGCTGCCGAAATGAGTTTCCTCCGAAGGGTGGCTGAGCTCTGCCTTAGAGACAGGGTAAGGAGCTCGGACATCCGGAGAGAGCTTGGAGTAAGTTGAGGACGTTTTGGCATCTGATCAGGATGCCTCCTAGGCACCACCCATAAGAGGTTTTCCAGGCACGTCCAACTGGTGGGAGGTCCTGGAGCAGGCCAAGAACAAACTGGAGGGATTACATATCTCACATGGCCTGGGAGCACCCTGGGATCCCTCAGGAGGAGCTGGAAAGCATTGCTGAGGAGAGGGGTGTCTGGAGTACTTGGCTCTGACTGCTGCCCCCGCGACTCTGCCATGTTTCTACAGAAGGCCCAGAACAGACAAACCAAACTCTGGCTCATAAGAGGGTTTTTTTATGCTACCTAAAGGCCACTGTAGGTTCTTTATACGCTTGGAAAGCGAAGCGTGAGCGGAGGAGAATTCAGTTGGTTGCAATCTGCAACTTTACAGCTAGATGGCAGTAAATCCTACACACTGGTCCTTTAAGGGCCATAAAAACAATGGGCCTCATTCGCAGTTGAAAATGGCTGACAACTCGTTCTTCACTCTTTGAACATGTTATGTTGGTCTCAGAAGATGCGCTCTCTCCTGACGGCACGGGCTGTAATAACTTACAGCAAGGTTGGATATCTTAACACCTGCTGTGAGCTAAATCAGATCTTTTATATACCCTGCATAGGCTACCAATTACTACTGGTTGCATACAAGCAATTATATGGCACTAAAAATTGGTAGGAGCAGCCTATAATTATAGTCTCAGTCAATAAAAACTATGAAAACCAAAGCTGTTTCATTTCAATATGGACATTCTCACACTCCACTGGTAAGCCTGGCCTGACACTCAGTTTTTAAAGATGAATATTTTAATTATAACATAAATGATGAGGATCAAAGGGTGTAAATTTCTTAGTTATGTAATACATTTGGACATTATTGTCGTCTATGAAAGCCCTTTTTAATAAGTGCCGTTTTAATATGCTATGTATTTAGTTAAAAGGTGTGTTCTTAGACAGCTGGCGTCTGAGGCAGTTCTAAACTTATTCACAAAAAAAATTAAGGTGACAAAATATTAATGAATCCCAGATTTGTGCATAAAACATGCACACACATAATTTAAGCACAGATCTGATTCTGCCTCACTGAGGTGCTGCTTTACCGACTAGACAACGGCCCCCAGGAACCACCAAAGCCAGATTATCGCTGGGTGTTAACTGGTTTGTTAGACCACTTAAGCACAGCATCAACTGGGATGAGGATAATCCTGATGACCATGTCAAATCTAATTTCAAGACCTTTAACCATGGCAACATATACCTAAAATAAAGTCAACTGTGTGTGTTCAGGTCGTATTACATCACCAGAGCAACAATGTAATAAGGCTACCATGTGTAGTACCCATTAGTGCATAGTGGTGTACTTAATGGGTGCTTGAAGAGACATGCTATATACATGGGGCCTCTGAGTGTGTCAATATGGTCAAGCCTCAGTTTTATGTTTTCCCCATTAAAGGCACAGTTCATCCAAAAATGAAAAGCTCCCCTCATGTCATGAGAAACATCAGCAAAGTTTGTATCCTCACATAAAACACAACTAATGGTGTGACTTCATCATGTCTGTCATTTCTGTTTGAAGACATTAATCACCACAGTCTTCACCGCCCTCACCTCAATGTTTTGGTACTGCTGTGGAGTGTAACTTCGGGTACCAACTGGTGCTATGGGAATGAAGCCATGTAGCTGATCACTGTTCTTCATGAGGAAGGGGATAGAGTAATGTCCACTCATGGAGGGGCTCAAGAGCACAGCCGCCCTGACGCCCAAAGACTCCATGAACCTTGAAAGGAGGTCCACTCGATTCTGATCGGTCTTCAGAGCCTCAGAGTCTGGTGACTTTCCATACCCTCCAAGAAGAACAACAATTTGTGAAACATTACTAAATACATAATTACAAAGTGGGTTTGCTCAGATCACAGTTTTGTGTTACAGACTTCATTCTGCACATCAACGAAGGTGTTCTAATTTATTCTGGCTGATTAAACCTCTAGTTAGATTGATGTGAGGTGGAGCCGTGCTGGGAACTGCCAAAAGGTCACCAAACTCTGTGTACTAATTTTGCTGCTTCTGTCAAACTATATTAAAGCATTCTGCTGCAAGTAAACAAAATGCCATGTCTACCAACAGTATGACACATGACAAGGCAGCAAGAGAAAAGATCCGGGGTCTCATTTATAAAACTCTGCATAGGATCCATACTAAAAGTGTACGTGCGGACAAAAGGCAAAATATATTCGACAATTTCTACGACCAGGCTATCACCTCAGCATGGGTCAAAGTTTCTCCCATCAAGTCTGTGTTTATAGACTACAACTTTTCCGTGGGAAGTGCATACACCTCTTTCAGGCCTCGTTTTGTGTGTACGCAATGTTTATAAACAAGACCCCAGAACACTGCAAAGGAAAGGTGTGGACTTGAATTACATGACTTGGACTCGAGTCACAAGTCTGATGACTTTAGACTTGACTTGACAAAATCTAAAAAAAACCTTGCAGCTCCACTTGAACATTAACATGAATGACTTGTGACTACACTTAGACTTGAGCCTTTTGACTTGAAAAGACTTGATTGACCCAATGATTAAAAAGTATGTTATTCAAAAAGTGTAACACTGATCATTTCATTTCCCTTCATTCCTGAATCAACTAATATTAAAGTTATTCATTCCTAGCAAGTCAACGCTTAATTGCCCAGATGATCCACTTTGTTTGAACCACTCGGACAGCAACAATCAAGTTGCAGGAGAGAATCATGAAGAACTTACATAATGTTACTGAGCACCAGCTGGAAAAAATGACACTAAAGATTATTTGGTTCACATACAAAAACGATGCAGTGCTTTTGACATTTTAAGTTGCACAAAGACGGTAAATCAAGACTAATATTAACATAGTTGGTGAGATAATTCGTAGCTAACATTAGCTTAACAGCAAAGTAACTTTTTAACAAACTTGTTCTAACAAAAAAATACAAGTTTTAAAAAGCATTCAGGATTTTTGTGAATTCAATATATTATTAATCTGTTGTTAAAATGGCATTAACTTTAAGTTAAGGCCTTGGGACCTGACATGAGACTTGTCAGTCTTGACCTGGGACTTAAGACACCACCTCACAGCATACCCAGTACACTGACAATACACAATGATAACGTCAGTTTTTTTTTGTTTTTTTTTTTAAATACATTTCCAAATTCAAAAGAACACAAGTTTTTCTTCATCCCAGCAATGAGAAACCTGCATCACATGTGCCTTGTTCAGACCTCATGTATGGAACCAAAAAACTGCCCACTGTCCACACAGATTAGAAAAAAAAAATTTCTGATTTTTGACCACAAGGGTGCAGTATTAGCTCATGAAAATCAAGTCAGCCAAACCAACGCAACTTTTCAAAATAAAGAACTAATAAATGATATTCTCTAGATAAAGTACCGTCAATGACCTGGTGGTGTTTATTTCAGAATGAATGTGTTCATCTACATAACTGTCACCTTTAGACTTCGACTATATTACAATTCATTGTGATGAAAATTGTTTGCATGTCACTATTTTTCAGCTACACTTGTGCCAAACCTATAAAGGCTTATGTAAAAACTTTACACAAAGGAATACAAGAGCAAAAATGTAAACCTATAAAATCACCTGAGCATTTTAAATATTAGTGTTCAAAATTGTAATATCAATTAAGTGTAGAAATATAATTAAAAAAGGAGAAAAATGTTGAGATACAGGGATTCTTGCAATATTTACAGTATGAACAACAGTTTCTAAGCCTGATCTTTTTTCCAAATCAAAAGTTTTTGATGGCAGAGCATTTCTAGGTCTCTTTCTGTACGCAGACAATGACACGGAGGAATCAATTAAATGTACATTTTCATTCAACAGGATAACTCTACAGTACGAAATGTAATAAAAAACTGAGTGGGACGTTTTACACAATGGAGATGGAGATTCTTAGCCTGTCTAATCTCAGAGTTTATCTCGGTTTGAATATAGATTAAATTTGAAGTAATCCAGCTCACTAAATCTTGTCCATTAGTGTATCACACCATACATATTACTGTAAAAAGTTCATGTATAATCCAGTTTGAAGTGATAACATCATTACAGTCACTAACACAGGACTTGAGTTTTACCTGGAAGGTCCATCGCTAAGGCCTGATATCCGTTAGTTGCGAGCAAGGCCATCGTACCGAGCTCTTCCCAGGTTTTGGATGTGAAGGCCTGGCCATGCAGAAGGACCACTTGCAGCCTGCACAGAGAAATTATTTTGTTTCAGAGGATTTTATCACAGGTAAGAAAAATACCATAGCTGTAGGTTAGCAGCACCATCTGTGTTTGTGCACATCCTGAAAACATTTGATCATCCTCACTGTCTAGTTTGTTCACTCTGCTTTTGATTACACAGGGGCATGCAGTCTGCTCAGATGTTTAAACATCTTAAACATCTGTTAAACATCTCTCTCCACCTGTCAGCTCACCTTGGCAATATCTGTCGTCCAGCTCCATCAATGGGTAAAGCTTCTCTGAAGAACAGCGGAGGGTCCCCGGGTAGCTGTCCGGTGCGAATGGACACATTGATGGTTGGAAGCGGAGGAGGAGGGGTGGCCATCAGCCCCATTCTTTGAGCTTCCAGGGACGGCTCCATGCTGCCCTGGCGAATTGATGGCAGCAGCAGGTACAGCAGTAACGTGGCCAACAACACCAGGCCCAGAACAACAAGACGGTTACGCAAGAAATTCATTTCGTCAGGATGAATGATCTGGGAAAAGTGGTAGATAGTGCAGTGTCTGAAAGCCCATCACATGGACCCTGATCATACAGTATTACTAACTGTTTGACAGCATATAAAGAAATTGCCGTCTACATCCATCAAGATTATTGTGGTTTAACAAATTACTTTGTCTTAACACTCAAATCATCTCACAATCCTTGGTTTTTTTAATTTATTTCCATAGCTCTAACCATCATTCCTACCAACATACTCACTACCTGCATTACTGAAATATGAGAAACAAGAACGCAAGCTTTATGTACACATGTAGCCACATCCCCAGGTGTCAACAATTAACTTGTTAGCACAACATTTAAGAATGATAAACGAAACTACAAAAATAAGACCCAGGTTGTCCTTATTGCAGGACAGTTCTACCTTGATTAGATGTGGAAGGCAGGCATTAGTTTAATTTAAAGTATCTTGTTCATCTTCCAACTTATACAACTCAAATACACACATGAACAAATAATGAATAAACAATAACAAGTCATTAAATAAGAAAAAGCACACTGGACGATTCTGAGAGTTCATTTTAAAGCCAATATTGGCCGATACCAATGACGTGCCGATATTATCCTGCATCTCTCTTTTTAGCCTTTAAAAGTGCATCAATATTGGGTGTGCAAAGTCATCCAGTGGGCCTTATTGGACATTTTGGTGGGCTGGTTCTGGTCCCCAAGCCATATGTTTGACACCCCTGGATTATAGTGAGTCACACTAATTTGGAAAAACTTCTGGTTACAGTCTGCAAGCATTTTACTTTGTACTCTATGCATTAATTGTGCAGATTCACTAAATCTGAGAGCATGTGAGTTCATAAATAATTTGCTGGTTGTTTCATGATAATCAGCTCTGTTTACAATTCTCAAAGCTCCAGCATTAAATTCTGTGTGTGAAACTTATAAAGAAATATTTGTTTGAAAGGTTAAAGCTTCACTAGACAGCTTGGCCCTTGGCAAACAAGGTGAATCCTTCAAGTTTCCACACACTATCTAAATCAAAGCATACACTTGTAATGACTCCTGCTAACAATACTTTAAACAGTGCACAGGTTGATAATGTTAGTGTGTTTCAACAGTTAGGGCTGCAGGGAAACAAAGTGAATCCAGTAAAACGCAAGAAATGTAGTCAGTTACAGGAAAGTTAACCCTCCATAACGAAGGACAAAATAATCTGTAGTATTGTAGAAAAGAAATAGCCTGCTGACTGATATAACTTAGCCAAAATATGCAAATAAGCTAACATTAGCTCGACGTGTCGCTCCCCTACTAGCTAACTAAACCAGTGTACAAAGGGAGTCTGTGGGAGACATGAAGGATGCAGCACCGGAGGAAAACATACCAACACAGAGGAGATAAATGTCAGACACGTTCACTGACAGGTGGACGAGGCCGTCTGCTTTATCGTCATGTCTTCTGCATTGCTGGTTGCCAGTGGTGGGAAATGTTGCAGAGAGGCTCCGGGGGTCGATGCTGGTGGTATTAGCTAGCGTTTCAAGCTGAGAGGATAAACTGTTAGCTCGGCGCTAGCTAGACATTGTTTTACTGACGAGAAATGACCTGTACAATCGAGATAGAAAATGTCCGATTAATTATCGAGTAAAATTGGATTGAAACTGTCACAAGAGAAAGTCGAGAGATGCAAAGGAATCTTGACCGAGTGTCTTCGTACAGTTACACATAAACGGTTTAAATGGTCTGTTCCTCGTCGGAGCAGATTACGAGCTGCACATAACAACAGTTAAGCGCCATACGTCACTTCCTGCTGGAGCTGTCAGACAAAAGCTTTAATCCGTTTTTTATCAGAAGTCACTCATATTTTGGTGAAGGAAACATCCCAGAGACTACATTTCAACACATTTGACAAGAAATGTAATAACGGACATGCTCTTCAGTTTTTAAAAAAAATAAAAATAAAATTAACCCAGAGCAAAGTTTTACTGGAACTCACATTTGGAAGAGATTTATAGACAAAAACATGGATATTACCTTAAAGGTATTTTATCTCTTATAAAGAAGTTCATGGATAAAATATATTCAGTGAATTCCATCATTTCCAGATGTGTGGATGTTAATAACTCTTGTTCTCGTGCTGATGAAACATTGATTGATTTATTTAGTATTTTAGTGTACAACAACAATGAAATTTGGGTCTGATTGAAGTTCTCATGTTTCCAGTACCACTTACATCACTCACCGTTTTACTCCAAAAGATATAATCTGTTTCTATGGTGATATGAGCAACAAGTCACACACTGGAGGGATTACATATCTCATCTGGCCTGGGAACGCCTCGGTGTCCCCCAGGAGGAGTTGGAAAGTGTTGCTGGGGTGAGGAACGTCTGGGGTACTTTGCTCAGCCTGGGCTCCTCTGACCTGGTCCAGCATAAGCGGATGAAAATGGATGGATGGGTGGATGGATAGATAACAATTTTTAAAAAGAAGGGGGAAAAAAGGAAAAAAATCTCATTTCCAAGTTTTAGGACTCACTCCTGGAGCACCCTATACTGTTACTTATACTCTTCGCATATACTTATGTCAGACCTATTTGGTTATATTTTAACATTTGTTGTTACGTATTACCTGCTGTTTGGACATTCATTTTGTCAATTAAAAAAAAAACATCTGTCAAATAAGAAAAAAAAAATTCTTTAAATATACTGTATGTGTTATCCGGTGAAACTGTTTCAGTTTTCGATACTGGTAAATGTGCACTCTCTGCACCTATATATCTGATGAACTTTCCTCAAAGTTTATTTGAAGATTAAAAGACACGTTTTGCTTTTTGGTGTTGTGAAGGGTACAACATCCTCTATATTACCATAACTATATAACCATTGCTTTTTGATGTTACGTTCATCAAACCAAAAACCAAACTTCTATGTATTTAATGACACTTTCAATATCTCTATGGGTACCCTGAAACTCACAGAGCTCATAACCAAACAATGCATAGAGTCCTAGCTTAGGGAATGATTTCAAAAAGTTCTCAGAGCAACTCCGAGCAAGGAAGAGACAGAAACTTTTACCTTAGTGAGGAGGTGTGGTTGACCCCGTTGCTAGGCGTGATGCTTTCTTTTAACAGGTGTGATTGGTTGTCACAGACACACCCTTTTCTGAGCCTGTAAGGTGTGGACACCCAGTGGAAATGAGATGAACTGCTGACTGTGAAAGTGTTGGCAGTGTTAGTGTGATCGCTCTGCTGATGGAAGGTTGAGACAGACTCAAGTCATCACTGCTGCACTGTTGCATTTTTCCAGTTTTCCAAATATCTTACAGTTGCGATCATTTTATTTCTGGCATTATAGCATAAGTTGGGAAATGTGTGTCGATCCCTAATGACATCAACCACACATATTATTCCTGCACCATCTAATCTGTAGCATTTTGAGAATATTCCTCCGACCTCTTTGTGTTTCCACCATTTTCTCCTCTGATTAAGAAACTCTTAACCCTCCTAACAGTTTTTCACCTTAGGAGCTCTTTTAAGGTATAAGATGCTCTGTGAATAACTTGGAGCAACTCTTAGTGAATACGGCCCCAAATTTTTAGTTCAGATTTGACAATCACTGGTCATAATTGCTAATTATTCATCTCAAAAGAGTCCAAAGACTTGTGTTGCTGTACAATAAATGAAAATCAATGGCTGCCTAAAAGATGAAAAGGTATTTAAACATTATGGTATACCTTCAAAAATGGTTTGCAGCACGTCCTAGTTTACAGTCACAGTATGTATGTGTAAAATCTGACTATACATAGGTGACATCTTTCACTCTATACCACATAAACCAGTGGTAACTGTGTCAGACCTGGTTTTTCTAGATCAGTATTTTTGCTCCAACATAAAATGAAATTTAAAGATGACAAATAAAACTTCTTATTTTATTATTATTCTTTTCAATGCAACTGAATTGAAAGCCAGGGGAGGTATAACAATCACTGAAGCATTTCCTTTAAGACAAAATTCACAGTGGAACAAACCTCTAACATGACACATTGAATGAAAAGAAAAAGATCAGAGTTTCACTTCTTATAAGACTAAACACGAAAAGGTGCCAGATCCACCTCAACAAAAAAGTATCTAAAGTGCAGTATTTTAAAATGTTTGCAGCATATATAAAACCTATTGCAGCACTATCCAGTTTGTGGAAAACAGCACAACCTACAACCTTCGTTTCCTACCTCTGATGTTTTATGAAAGCAAATGTGCCGTATAAATAACTTTGGCTAATACTTCTCTGAGCGGTGCCACAGAGAATAAATACAGAACCTACTGTATAAATATGAAACTGCTCAGCCAGCTTCAGTCCAGCAAATATATTTACTTGCCAATAAACTAATATGAAGATGTATCTACAGTAGCTACTATCGACAGTGTCACTGGCAGGAACCCCCACACAAGCTGATCTGCAAGCGAGTCAAACTACACATTAAAAACACAAGACTGATTACTGTGTATAGAGCCGGAGCGACACTGGATTTCTGAGGCTGATGTTGACATTTAAGTCAAATACTTTTTTTAATACACAAATAGAAACATAATCACTTGGTTATTAAAGAACTGTGGCCAAGACATGTACTTATAAATATGTAGAAAAGAATAAACATATTTTTGGCATTTTTGAAGTACAATTTTTTGATATTTATCAGCCGACAGATACGCCAACACCAGTATATCTGGAACCAGCTCGGACAGAGCTCTGACAGCATAAGGAAAGAGTTAGATTTAGGACTTTTAAGACGAAGATAAAACACAACTGGGAAATACTTGGCATTTGTTGCCGAGTTTACTTTGCAATTTTTTGTCACACTGCACGTAATATTCCACTATGTTAGTTCCCATCGTGATACACCGAGCCTCGTATGTAATGCCCTGCACCGATAAAATCCTACTTCCCATGTCTTAGCAGTTTTGCTATTTTTGAAAGATTGATTTAAGACATTTTAACACCAGTTAAGGCCTTATTTTAAGTCGTCCCCACGGCAAAAAGACTGGTTAATACGTCCTGAATCCAGTCACACACACATTCTAACAATTTTTCACAACTGGACTGGACTGTGCAATGGACAATTTTATTTTAATTTAATCTCTATTTATGCATTTATTCTAATGTATTTTATGTTGTCTTTTGTCTTTTATGAGCTGCTGGACAGCTGAATTTCCCTTTGGGATAAATAAAGTTCTTTCTATTCTATGAATTGAATACTTTTTAAGAGTGTTCATGGATCTGTGGGAACCCTGTTATATTGACAATGAGCGGCTGGACTCAAACTGCGTAGCGTTAGATACTCCTGGTATCTGTCTGTTTCCATAAAACAAATTTGGCAAAGGTTGTATGACCTGAATGCTGAAATGTAACTTCTTTTGTTACGAAAATCAGTTTCACAGTGATACCCAGTTAAATTAGAGGACACCATTCGCAAGTAAATAGTAACATTTATATTTTCTTTTCTGTCTTTTCAGGTCTGTCCGCTCTTTCCTTCATAAATACATTGTCCTTGTTAATTTAAAGAAAACTGGCAGGCATGTGTAGTTCATAAAGCACTGTATAAGTAAAGCACTGTGGCCAGCAGAGGGCCGAGATAAACACTGCTGTAAAAACCTCAATAATCACAACTTGTAAACAAAGGCAACCATAAAAAAAAGAGCACTTCATCATCCAGTTAAGGCACAGTTTTGAACTGAAACAGGCAGGTCCAGCCGTGTTGTTTCTAGAAGCCAAATTATCTTTCAGACTCAGTTTCTCATAATTTATCACCGTCTGGCATAATTAGCTATTTACATTTCATAAGGCTAACACTTAATGGCTTAATGCATCAACGGACACCAACTACAAAGTCTAAAATAGGCAGCATCGTGTAAATGTAGAATATTACAGTCAATGCCGGATGTCGCTGAGCTTTAAATGTACCTTTCTTCCACTTTTTGTTTCAGCCTCATGTTGTTCCATTAATAAAAACATGATAAATAATCATTAAAAAACAACTTTTAGGTTAAGCAGTCCTTTTCTTGTGAGGCATTTTATCCTCTGTGGGAACAGTCCCATAATTACACTGTAGTCCCATTCAAAGTGTAGTGATGGTAAAGAGTATCCCTCATCTGGAGGTCAGGGTCAGCATGGAGCATGACAGACGCCTTGAAGAAATCTGATTTTTGACATAATTTGACAGACGTTAATGACCAGCTGCAACACTGATGGACGGACATTAGTACTGAGGTTGGAGCTCTGCCAATGCTGCGTGCTGGGATAAAAAAAATCTCCCATACTGGGAGATCTCTGAAGACAGGACTGATTGTCTGCTGTTGTCAATGCAGCATCACCACTGGTGCACAGTAACTTACCCCCTTTATGTTGCAAAGTCTGAGCTGTCCTTTTCAGTTCTGGCAGAAGCAGTGAATAGTTTGGGCTTCTCAGTTTCCTCAGTGTAGCAGAGTGAGGAGTCCTAGTGGGAGTAAAAAGCAAAGAGGCCAGGTCCCGAAGACAGAGGAGGCTCTATTCTGGCCTTTTTCTTTCTGAGAACAGGCCTCACCCCTGTACCCACTGTAGCATTGGCACTGGAAGTGTGTGCGGAAAAGAGCCAGCTCGGCCTGGCCGGGCGAGCCTGTAACCTTCAGCTGGCCACCCTGACTGGTGATGCTGTGTGTTGAGGTGCTAAGATGCAGGTACACGTCATTGTCTGATATTTTGCGCTGACAGCGGCCGTGAGATTTGCACACCACCTTACTGCACTGTTCTGCTGCTGTGGACACATTGAGGAGGTACCGGCCCAGCTCTCCCTGTAGATACTTATTCAGCATAGAGCAGTTGGCCTGCAGGTAGAAAAAGAAATGGTTGTTAACAACCAAGTATTAAACACTGGGCTGTTTAGCATCAAAATGAGCAGACGGTATGACACTTACACTGCTGCTTGCATAGGAGGTGTCCCCCCAGAAGATTACACCTGCAGCTCCAAGTGCAACACTCTCACCAATGGTGGAAACCAGATCAGTCTAGAAAACATTACACAAACAGTTCAGCAGGTTAACCACACAATGAGGGAAATATCACACAGAAAAAAAATGTGTTCATTTAACTAAAGTCAATATTTTAAAAGGTCACTACGCTGCACAAAGTATAATGATAATAATAACCTTCTCACTGCAGTGACAGCAGTGTTAACATAGTGTCAACCACAGCTTTAGTTTTGATTAACTGCTACACACTACATACACTTTCTATTCAGCAGCAATGTGTGGCCTCCTGGTGACTGCATCCTTGTATCAAATGATTAAATATAATAACTGAACTTCTTTATAACATAATAAATGTATCAACTCCTGTATTTGATGAATCATTGCTCAAGCCAACTAACCTGAGTTAGGAGGGTCACCTGATTCATGTAAGTAGGGCGGGTATAAACAAAAACAGGTCGTGCCAATCCATCCCCAACAGACGCCAGGCGCATCGCTTCCTTTACCCTGTTTCGGACAAAGAGACGTCCATAATTTGTAGAACCTAGTACAGAACCTATGTATATAGACGGGAACAACGCTGTACACTCCTTCCACAGCCAGTTGAGTTGATCATTGCGGCCCGTCTCCACAGCAGGACAGCGGCCTGTGTAGTTCTCCAGGCCATTCCTGTAGTCGTGGTTGTAACAATCCGGAAACAGGTAGAAGCCCCACAGTTGATTGGGCCTCAAATTCTTGGCAAATTTCAGAGTTTCCAGCATAAATTTGCGAGCTGACAGCTCAAATTCCTGCTGCGCAACTTTCCCCACTTGTTCTGGGGTCCACTTGGGGTTCTTTTTGGCCACCATTTCACGGGATTTATTTCGATAGATATCTTTAATATCCCAGTTTCGGATCCACAGTGGGCGCCACTCCTCCCAGTCAATCACAGCCAAACCTTTTGCGTCTGGCTCACGTATGTATTTCTGCAAACCTTCAGGCATCTTGTCATAATGTTGAGTGAGGCTGGCAAGCTGTGGAAGGCCTCCGTTCACTGCAGTGCCACCTCGCTCATAATAGGGATACAACCCAAGGCGCTCCTTATAGAAAATTGTGAGGTTCTGTCGGACAAAGCCCTCATTGGGAGATGCCACAATGTCAAACTGATCCAGAGATAAAGTAACGCCATGCCGCGGGGCACACTCCTGTGTTGGGGCATTCCACGCAAGAAGAACTGGCTTCTGGGAATATAATGGCCATCTTGTCTGCTTTATATCTGCTGAACACAAGACTGTCCACGATGTTAACAGAGTCAGGAGCAACCAGGGCAGCTGGCCAGCTGTGAGGAGGAGAGAGGGAAATACAGCTTCCATGTTCACAGCTTGCCTTCTCTTCTCTTTTTCTTGAAAAAACAAACAAAGCAAATTGTTAAGTGGGGCAAAAATGAAACAAAAACAGTTTCAGTTACTGTCAGGTGGTACAGGGAATTTAGCATCACTTTAAGTGTGATTAAATATATCAAAATAGGAAGTCTTTAGGTAGACCTTCAGGTGATGTTTTAGAGAGTTTCAGGTGTTTTCAAAGCAACAGGATTTCACAGGTAGAATGAGTTTCAGTGAGCATCTCGAGCATAGGGGTATACATACTGTTAGGATGTCTAAGATAACTTACAGGAAACTTGTCTTTTATTGTCTTATTGCCAATATTACCAAGTATGGATAACAGGAGTCAACTTCCCTTTTTGACAGACGTTACATGAATCATTTTGCTTCGGAAATGACAAGCAATAAGTTAAAATTCAGCTAGAGCGAGATGTAAAGCAAAAAACTTACTACTTTTAACATTTAACTGCACATTCAAGTTCTCTCTGAGTGCTCTGAACTTCTTCCGTACACGAACTCAGTAAACGTAAGTTGGTCAAATTAGCTCAAAGTTTCATTGAAACTGACAAAGATGCTAGGTTAGCTAACGTGTTGTTTCTTCTTCCTACCCAGTCTGACCTGTTGTGGTGAAGCTGAGGACGGGGGCTTATTCCACTCATGTAACCGTCACATAAATTGCTTTTCCACCGCCCTGCCATGTGAAAGATAACAGTCGGAGTGCGTTTAGTCCATGTTGATGATTCACAAAACTGCCAGCTAAGCTAGTAGCTGGAATCACGGCAGGAGCGGTGGTGACGGTACAACGTTGAGCAACAACAGTTCAGTGAATCAAGTTCCCGAGTAGGGGGGTGTTAAATTAATAAAAACATAAAGCATATTGTTTCGCCATTTGTATTGAAACAGCATTGAAGTTTACTTTAAATAAAGTAATATTAAACACTTAAGTATGATTATAACCCTGTCTGGCATTAGTTTGAGCGTGAAATTACACACCAGTGCTCCTGTCTCCTCCCCTGAAAAAGACCAAAGTAGTCTGTCCTTCAAGTTATGCTCTAAATTAACTGTAGAGGGAAGTCAATGTGAAACAGATTCCTCACAGGTTATAATGCTAAATAGCTGTTGTATCCAGTTCCTACTATGAAGCCTATTTTAATTTAAGATGCTACAGTGTAAAAAGGTACAATATAAACTGAAGAAATAAATGGAGCACTAAACATTTAGGCACAGAGTGCATGGTTGGGTCCTTTTATTTATGGTTTATACATAATGGCAGCAAGAAAAATCAGGTGGAAAACACATTTTAAACATTGAACTAGTTATTAAACTATTTAATTGAACTAGATAATTTAGCTAGCTTTAGCTTTATCTCCAGGCTCCTTGCATCTTGCTCAGAATAAGTGTCATTTTAGTGTTAAAAAGCTGGTAATGGCAGTGCTTTGGAAAAAAAAAATACATTTATATTCTTAATTTGCATTATGTAAATCTTTAAATCTGGAAAACACTTTGTTCCTAAGCTTGAAAAGTGCCACATGAATAAAATTAAAAACTATTTTGCTCTGAGGAAAGTGACTTAATCTTAAAAAGTGTCAGGCTATTCTTCACATTTGAGCTTGAATATGAGCATGCTCTGATTGTAATGTAGTCCCAGTGTGAGAGAAAATATATATTTTGAGTTGATACAGCCCAGTTATCATTAATATGTTTTAAAGCTGTCATTTCATTTATGATATGTCCAAAAAATGTCTCTTACCAGCAGACTTTTCCTCTCCAATCTCTGGATGAAAGTAGTTTAATCAAGCTGAGATGCATAAAGCCCAGGCTTTTTATTATGCTCCATTATCATAGCCTGTGAGCTCCTCTCAACAGAGCAGACAGATGCAGTAGTTCATTCTGTGCTGAAATCCACCCCTAACTGGTATTTAAATATCCAGCAGACTCCACCTCTGTTTGGGAGTTTCAAAGAGCAGCTTATCTTGCATGTCTCTCTGACACCATCCAGCAGAGGCAGATTCAAATTAAGTATGTTGTTCGGATGTCATTCTCTATTCATGTGTCACCACCCAGTGACTGTGTTGTAGTGCCACCTGACTTAACTGTAATTAATCTGTCACTGCAGCTAATCAGCATCTCTTCACATCTGCTGCTTGTATTGGTTTACCTGCAATTTTATGTTATTATGTGTTATTATTTAATATTATATACTTTGAGGCTCCATAGTTTCTGTAGCAAATCTGATATGACCAGTTATGAAAAGACTTATTCTGCCAAATTAACCTGGGTGTGGAAGTCAATGACTAATGCAGATTTTAGGTGAAATGTTTCAGTCTGTTTCGATGCAGAAAAACCACCGCTCCACCCAGCGTGATCTTGGCATGGTGCTGGAAACATCAAAGAGTCTAGACAAGTAGAAAAAGATCTATGCAGTGTTTCACTTTATTGTTGAGCTTCCTATCTATTAGACCCTCATCAGAGCATACATAAGGTAACAATAAGGTAAAAGTAACCAATCTCAGTCTGGTCACAGGCAGTATGCCAGTATACCCTAGTGGTAGAAGCTCCACCCCCTGGGAGTTGTAGTGTTTTCAGTGATGAATGGCAAACTGTGAAGCATACAAATGGAAGCCATACTAGTCTTGTCATACAACTTTTTCTCCCAGTCTGCTATATATAATAAAAAAGGATAGGGACATGTATCGAGCAACGCAGCGCTCTCAGTCTGTTTGTGTTTAAGAACCATGAATCCATTACAGGTATTTTTAACCTCAGCAAAACTGAGAGTAGATGAAGGCTAGCTGTTATTTACACTGATACCTGAAGCTAAGAAAAGTAAATGACAGACACATGACACATTCACACACCTTTATCTGTTACATAACCTCCTGAATGATGAGGTCAAAAGGCTGTATATAAGTCACAGAATTCCATTTGCATGATCACACACTCAGTAAGATCACTTGACCAGTCTGATAATGCTTGTTTTTCATTAAACCAGAAAATTGATTTATACACCTAGACCCCAAGGGCCCTAAAGTCCCAGGTAGATCTATTACATAGGATTTAATCACATTAATTCAAACCAACTGAATTTATTTTGAAACACAGAACAATATTAAGTGAGACAATAAGTGTTGAGACTAAAGCAAACACTAGAACAACATGATGAAAACAGTGTGTTTGTGTGTACCAGTGACATATTTCACATTACACAATCGATTCATTGAGGGTAAAGACACTAAACTGTTTGCTCAGACTGCATAACATGAGTTTACATGTGACACCATGGGTCTTGCAGGTTAAGCAGATACTGATGACTGTGGTTTGTTTAACCTCCGGCTCACAAAAAGTGTAACAACATCAAATGGTTAAAGCTAATTGTTGAACAAAAGCTAAAAGATCAGTTCATGCGAAAGTGGCAAAGTGAGCTCAGAAGTATGACATCATGTGATATTTATATAAAGTTTAAACAAGAACGTAAACTGTTAAAGTGTCTGTTGTATGAAAACCAAAAGTACCAGCAGGCTATTTGCAATTTAAGCGTGAACAACACTAGAGTCCAAGTCATTGGATGATAAAGGGCTGGATAGAAACTACAGGATCTGTAATAACAATCATTTGGGAGTCTGAGTTTTGTATTCTGTTTGAATCTAAGGATGTTAGTGCAATTAAATATTGAGGCATTAGCCAAAGTTATTTAAACCACCTATCTGTGCTTACATTAATTTGTTGTTACAATCACACATGCCAAAAGTTATTTGTAAACAGTGTGGTAAAACAGTCTCTGCCTCGCCTTTCTCACCACTGAGTCAGTATGCAGTACCAAGGTCAGGCCCTTGATGATGTGGACACCAAGGTATTTGAGGATACCCACCCAAAGTATTCTGAATCTGAATTCACCATGGACAATTGATACTGAGAGGGGCGTAGCTCCTTGGCTGCTTCTTCCCAAAGTCCACTATCATCTCCTTAGTTTTGCTAATGTTCAGGAGTAGCTTGTTGTCCTGACACCAACAGGTCAGGAAGGCCTTTTCATCGTTATCTGTGATCAGGCCCACCACAGCTGTGCTGTCAGCAAACTTGATCATGATCTGAAGTGGCTACACAGTCATGTGTGTCCCAAGAGTACAGCAGGGGATTCAAAACGCAGCCCTGGGGTGCTCCTGTGTTAAGGATGAGGGTGTAAGAGGTGTGCCTGCCCACTCTCATCACCTGGGCTCTGCCCGATAGGAAGTTGATGATCCACATGCGCAGTGAGTTTAATCCCAGCTCCTTGAGCTTTGTGACCAGCCTGAAGGGAACTATGGTGTTAAACACTGAACTGTACTCAATGAACAGCAATCTCACATAGCTCCCTTTCTTTTTCAGGTGAGATAAGGTGGTGTGGAGGATGCGTGCTATGGCCCCTTCTGTAGATCGGTTGGAATGGTTGGGACCAGAGCTGTGTGCTGGTTAGTGAGGAGCACATGTAATCCTTCATCAGTTGTTCAAAAACTTCATCACAACAGCGGTAAGTGTCACTGGGTGGTAGTCTTTCAGCCATTATTGCCAGTTATGGCACTTTGACCCACACTGACTGTTGGCTTTGTTACTTAAGTTCACTTGTAGTTATATCAAAGCTTAGTCGGATGTCACACTGAGATTCGTGAATCATAGAAATATCATTTCAACCTTTTGTTGAACTAAATGGGGTCATTGCACTTCTGAGGGTTAATATATGACTTCACAAAGATCTTGTCTTAGATCTGTTTGCACATGTAGCAAAGAAAACACTTTAAAGTGCTTATATCGACAAAAGCTATATTTTCACTATTCACTATTGACCTCATTGCTCCGTTTTTACCTTTGTCAAATACACACAGACGTCATGACTAATAGATTCCTGCTCTGACAACAGCTCCTCCAGAGTGCATGGGTAAGTTATTCTTGATTTCCCAGATGCTGTTTCAAAAACATTATGCATGTCTGAAACACACATCTTTGTAAGAAAAAAAGCAGAATGATTCACACATTATTTTTTAATGACAAGGAAAAAGATGGTGAACCTTCACATCTTTAACTGTGCTCAGGCTTTAGTCAGCAAAGCCAGACGCTGGGTGGTTTGCTGAGTCAAATCTTTTCTTTTAACCTCAATACTGCAATTCACCTCGTGGCCTTGCATATTATTACAGCTCTGTGAAAGTAAACAACAGAAAGTAATTGTGCTGCCATGTCTCCCCCCAGACTCAGCTGAAAAAGATGCTCGCCCAGAGGTACAGCAAAGCACAAAGACTTGTGTAGAGTAAAATCATTTCATGAAAGCAATAAAGTGGAGTGGATTTTGGCACAGTCCTCTTTATCCTCTGGGAGAACAATATCACAGACAGCTTTGTAGAAAACTCTTTCCCATGGAGAGTGCATCAGTGGCCTTCACTTCTCTCCTACCTTCACCCAGCACTCATTAGCGGACACACATACACTCACTTCGCCTCCCAACAGTGGTTTGTATCTGCAATTTCCTTTGCAGGTGGCTAATTTCATAACAGGTGGAGGTCAGCAGGGGCATTATTTCCACTTCATGGGTGAATGGGTCCTGTCAGTTCATTTTTGCATTTACAACCTGAGCTCTCTGTTGTTATAAAAGATTACTTGACAAATATCTTTTATGAGCTTGCCAAATAATTGTTAAATAACAACTCAGCCTAGCAAGACACACTTGACTTTGCTGAAGACATTTCTTTCCTCCGTTATCTTAACATTTTAGTTTCACTGAGCAGAATATGGTGTGTATCAGGATTTTAGTCCCTTTAAAGCCACTGTTTCAGATTCTGTAAATATTTCCCACAAAAAAAACCCACCTAGTATATGGATAATTATTCATTTTCTTTCTTTCTTCTTACCCCAGGAGTTTATATAGGCAATGATGATAAACGGCTTTTCTTTCACCTTTGATCTTGACGGCTTGTGATAGAGTAAATGCAAAAGAAAATGGGAATTGCTGATTTTTGCTATTTAATTAATTATAAGTGAGTCCTAAGAGTCATAAGATTGATTATTCTGATCTTAGGTTTCACTTCCTCAACTGTTATCGGTTAACTATAGAAATGACCCTTTGCTAAGTTCTGCCCCTGCCGCAAACTGGCCAGTCATACATAGCATCGGGCCGGCTCAGACCAGGGTCCAACAACAATACAGCTGTGCTCTATTGACTCTAATGAAATCATTTCAGATTTCCTTCATTTTCAGGCTGGTTTTGTGGATTTTGTGGTGTATTAATGATACTCGTTACCTGGAGAGGTTGGAAAAAGGTATACGTTTCTTCCCTGTCCCAAAACCAAAATCAAACCCTGAAAAGTGTAGGGTTAGCTAGCTAGCTACTGAAGATATAGCCTGCCGAATGTATACACATGCTGCTTTTGCTTTTTAACGATTATAACAGTGAAACAAAGACCGACCCTGCTGTACAGGAACCAGTGAAGGGAAGCAGGGAAACTTTGCTGATATTCAACCAGCTGTGTGTCATCGCAGATAATTGTTGCTGGCAGCAGCACGGGGGTGAAGCCAAACTGTGATGTGGTGGTTCACTTTCACACTGTGATCTGTAGCCTATAGTTCGGCTTTAGCTTCTAACTATCTTTGTCTTTTGAACCTGTTGTTGCTGCTGAGTCACTTTAACATCCTGGATATATCCTTGAAACACAGACTGTAGATCCCTCAGTCTGCTTCTCTCTGGAATCGCTGTTTAATTTTTCCAAAAATATGATAATATTTCTTGACTCCAACAGCTTGTTGGCCCATCACAAAGAAGCGGGGCTTAGCAAAAGGTCAATTCTGGTCTAAATAAACAACCAATATCTTTTTAGATGGAGGTCCCTGAAGCAAAGTCTTATCAAATGTGGGGTCCGTGACATCATATATATCAATTAAGTAGTCCTTGACCCAAAAAGAGGCTGCGAACCACTGTCCTACATGCTTGGAAAGGGAAGGGTAAGCGGAGGGGTATCTAGTTGGTTGCAATCTGCAACCTCACAGCTAGATGCCATTAAATCCTACACACTGGTCATTAATTACACTGTTCAGCTTTAATGTGTTGATATAAAAAAGGACCATGACACAGATTAGCATTTGATATTGTAATTAAAAAACAGTTATAATAAATTAAAAGTGAAACATATTATGCCAAAGCAGCAAACAAAACAACAGGATCTCTCATTAGACTCACTGCTGCTGTGTACATGTGTGGCTCTGAGGTCACTGAAGCCAGTCCATCCAACATATGACATTAATCCACTTCAGATTTTGACGGCCACTGATTGTCAACTCCCTAGGCTATTTACTGATAAGCAGATCTTGTTCCATGCATAAAAAAGCAAGTCATGATGGTGTCGAAAAAAAAAAAGGATAAAGAAAGTGTGCACTTAAAACGTTCCCGCTCTAGCTATGACCGTGACAGAGGGAAGAACTGGTTACGTTCTTCCCTCTGTCACGGTCATAGCTAGAGCGTGACAGAGGGAAGAACGTAACCAGTTCTTCCCTCTGTCACGGTCATAGCTAGAGCGGGACAGAGGGAAGAACTGGTTACGTTCTCCTCAAACTCCTAGAGTTCAATGAATCATACCAGAAAACAATCTGCTGCGATAAATCCCAGACTCTGTCGCATTTCATCCCGTGTCTGCACACGCATTCACACGTACATGCACACAAACCATGATCTGTAAACTGAGAGGGTTTTGCCAACTTGGCACCCCTCTAGATCTCACTGGTGACCTATTCTGTGTCTAACTGCACACAAGCCAAAACAGATCACATGCAGAGGCTCAGCACACATTGCATCAGCCTGTCCACATAAGGGCATCAAATATATCAAGAGATCATGTTGTTTTAAAAGGTGGTTCAGGCTTCCAGCTGTAGGGGAAACCACAGGACGGAGTTGACACAGTGGCTTGTCTGAGACGCTGCTCAGGCATCATCAGGCTTCACAGAGGATAACTGGGAAATCTACATGGATGCAAGGGATCTCCAGCTTTATAATTCCCTGGGAGGAGACAAAAGAGATTAAATTATTTGGACTGATATCACAGAGAGCTCCTGTTGGTGAGTTAAACCTGGGGCTGGGTATCATTTAAAAAATAACGATGCCTTAAGGTATCAAGAGCTTTAAGGTATCGACTGAAACAACCGATATCCAGCCCTAGTGAAGCCCTAGTTTTGAGATTATAATTTCCTCACCTGAGGTGTTAGGTTTTTTTGAATCCTCTTCAGCTTAGCTTTTTTACGTCCATTTTTTGTCACAATTGTCTCTTCATAGAACTCGTGGGCCAAGTCACCATCTTCATCAAAGAACATAGAGCTGCAGCAGAGAGAGACTGAGTTCATTATACATTCATAGATAACATATGTGTGTATGCTCAAATCTTCAGAGGGCACTAAAACTACAGGTTAGTGACAACATTACAAGATGTACTACAAATATTACAGTAAGGAATTTTATCATTAACTTTTAATGACAACATATGATGACGTGAATATTACACGTACACATGACGTACCATTATTTGTTACAAAAAATGAGAGTAAGTTAAAGGGAAACTCGGGCATTTTTGGACCCTCACCTTATTTTCCCACGTTTGTGTCTAAGTAACTAATAGAGACGTGGAGTTTTTTTAAAAAAACACTGAGAGACTGCTACAGTCTGCAGCAGCAAAATAGGCTGCAAAGTAATCCCCACAAGCAACTGTGCACACACTGTCAATTTACATCCATTAAAAGTGTGTGTTTTTGCTACTGACAGGCTCAGATTGTTGTTTTAAGTGTCTAACAACAATTAAATGCATTTCTTCACCTTTTGCTGATCCAGGCTTTGTGTAACCAAGCCTTACTCGAGGAGAGGTCTTCATGACATTCATGACATTGAAAATCTTTTAGATAACACGAAGCTTAACTTTCTGTACTCCAACACGACAAACTCTTAATGCAAGTCCTTTCTCCAACTCATTAATGTTTCCACATCGCAATATTTCAAAATGAGACTTCTCCTTGAGTGAGACTTGATCACAAAAACAAACAGACCAGCGAAAGGTGAGGAAAAATGTTTCATTTCTCAGTAGGATACTTTCCAACGTGCTGTCAGATACTTAGAATAACAATCTGAGCTTGTCAGTGGCAAAAACAAGCATTAATGAATATAAATTGATAGTGCAGAATTGCCTGTAGGGATCACATTGCAGCATGTTTCATTGCTGTGGCTGCGGCTGCTTCCCTCAGTGCTGGACCAGTTTTAAAAATAGTTGTCTCTATTAGTCACATGGACACAAAAACAGGATAATAGGGTCCAGGTTGAAAAAACACCAAAGTTTCTCTTTAATGAGAAAGCCAATAAAACCACAACAAGCCACTTAGTTTACTTATGACTTGGCTCAGTGAACCTCAGAATTTTGTCCATTACAATATGTAGTTTATCTAAAATGGTATCAAAACATTCAGTCGGCTGTCTGCATGTAGGTAAAATGCCTTGGTCAGAGGAGTATGGTGAGCAAACGCCTCAGTGCAACAGTGGTGTACATCAGCAGGAATTTATTTTTCCTTGGATGATGGAATGACCCACCCCACTCTGTCTTACTCTGTCTCTGATTGGCTTACTTTGGCAAGCTTACCCAACCCTTGCAAATATCACCCCTCTTGTCTAAACCTAACCAACCCAACCAAAAAAAGGCAACAAGTTTTAGCCAGTAAGATGGAAAGTAGGGCGGGTCACGCCTTCACCATCCTGGGAAAAGAAAATGTGCCATCTATACACCATGTTTGTGTCCACGCCTGTAAAGTAAAAACAACAGGAATGAAGATAAAGTGGACACATTATCATGAACACTGGCTGAAGGGGTCACCCGATCTGACAAACCCTGGTTTATGGTATAATGCATCAGTGGATCATATAATGCATCAGCGCATCGGTCAGAACTGTTGTGTAAACATTGTAAATTTATGGCTCCATTTTGTCCAGTATCAAAAGCACAGTCTGAGTGTGAATGTGTGGGAATGTTTTCTGTGCAAACAGGGTACGTCTCTTTATGGACAGTCTTTTTGAAAGCTTTTTTAAATGAGCACATAATACACTATGTTACACAATATTCTCAAGCTCTGTCCAAGAACATTAGTCACATTGGCGAACTCCAATAGTCCTCTTCATACCCACAACTTCGCCCAGTAGCTCACCTTTTATAGTGAAGTTGGGAGGGATGTTTAAAGCTTGCACTCTATGCTTGTGTGACGCCATCACATCAGTAGGTGTGTTTACATGGACATAAATAACCTGTTTATGATCATAACCGGGATAAGCCTCATAAACAGGTTATTCATGTCCATGTAAATGCACTCAATGTGCAGCTATTTTTCTGTGGAACATTTTGTAAGCAAAAGGGACTGGGAGGTCAAATTCATCTCCAAATTAATAACTGAATACGGCAAATAAAAAACTCTGCTCTACTGGGAACTAAGAGAAGCATCAATATGGGGATTCAAGGCAATATGATGTCTGGATCAGTCTGTAAGTGCTATAATATCTGAAAAAAAGGCTGAAACTATCTATATATTTACCTTCGTCTAGTAAACACAAAAGGTGTTGCGCCTGGGAAACTTCGTACTCTCGCCATTGACTGCTCGCTTCCATCTTTGGTTGGATCGTCCGTACTACCTGAGCCAGAAAAAGGCCAAAATCCTTTGGATTTGGAGCCACTACCACCCATCTTCAGCTGCAGCACATTATTTTCTTGGGTCACAGGACTGCCAGTGGTGTTACAGTGTTACTGTACCAGGAGAAAAGTGACCTTCAGAATATGAAACCTATGAGAAGTGACACAGGAAAAGGAGTCATTTTGGGCAATATATTATAACACAAGCATAGGAAAGGAAAGGAAAAAAATAACTTCAATGAACATCACATATGAGCGACACCACAGACAGGAACACTAACTCCACCTTAAGTATGACTAAGGCAAGAAATAGGCTACACTACACTGCAAAATCTGTGCATTTGTATCTACAGTATAGCCAATGCAAATTAAAACAGTAGATACCATTCGTCTGTAGCCAACAATTAAATCTTGCTTATGTCAGCATAAGAGACACAATAAAGATATACAGGAGGACAAACAGAAGACAAAGCCCAGGGTAGTGTCGACCACAATTAGGTTATGATTTGAGTCATGTGTTCTATGTCCTTATGCCAGAATGCAGCAGGCCAGTACATGACAGTGCAAACAGACAAGGCAACATTACACACAGTATATATTATAATTAATGCAATACAAAGCCTGCCAACGTCTGAACCCTGACTATCCCTCTATGTACCGTTATTATCAGGTAGAATTGTTGTTTAAAAGCAACAAAAATCCTGAGTAACGTTAGCCAGCTCTGCTTGGAGTCTAGGGGTCTCGGTACCATTAGCATAGGTTATCTGAACAGGACGGCTAACGGCTAGCTAGCTTCAACCGACAGGACCGTTAAGAAAACGGTCCTGTGTGCGTTATTTTCACTTGCTGCTGTGTCACATTATGTCCTGGCTGCTGACATTATCACTAGCTGAAGACACTTAGCTCTCTGTTCCTAGCATTAGCCAGGTCAACATGTTTCTATCTGGTTCACAAAATAACGTTTACTGACGCTGCCAAATGCTAAATGGCGTTTGCCGCTTCCGCTTAGTTGGTTAACAACATACCGAAAGTAGGTTTGATGTGTTCGCGGGTATGAAATGTTGTTTGTTGAATTTGTCTTGCTGGGTTGCTAAATCTGTAGAAGATAACACACACAGATACGCTAGCTGTTTATGCTAACCAACGTTCTTCTTCTTCTTCTACGTCTTTTTGTCTAGCAGCTGGTGAACAGACCGAGGTGAGCTACCGCCACCACATGGACAAGAGGGAAACAGCAGCTGGAGTGTACTGAAGAGGAATATTGTAAATTAATAAATTAATTAATAAATATACTGTCTGACTGACACTGAAAAAGAACAATATGGACCGTTTCATTCTGTTGCTAGGGCAACAACTTTGGTCCCTGTTTACTTCCTGTCAGCTTCTGCATTAACATACATTCAAACAGGAAATACAAAGGGACCCATTTAGAATGTTTATGTTGTCTGGTTTGAAACGGTCTATAGTACACTATATAGTCAAAAGTATATGGACACCTCATATCCTTGTGTGTGGCTGTTTTTCAGGGTTGGACCAGGGCAGTAATCATAGTATAAACTGGGGGGGACACATCCCTCAAATATGCTCAAAATGCCTCCTCCTCTCCCAAAATATTGAAATATTGGAAATGATTTTTCTAATTCTGACCCCCGGCAATATTGACTTCATGGCTATGGCCTTGGTTTGGCCTAGGCTCTTTGATCTGGGGAAACCCAAATGCAACATACAATGAAAAGACAAAGGAAGGAGGGCAGTGGCGTTCAAAAAGGTAAAAAATGTTAAAAGCTGCAGGTGCTCTTTGGTCCTCAGCGAGGAAGCATAATGAAGAAGGAGAAGAAAAGGCAGTCCAAGGCACTCTGACAATTAAAAAGCTTTATTAAACAGGCTAGTTCATATAGAACAGATAAAAATTACCAACATGTTTAGGCCTGAGTCAGCCTTCGTCAGGGCAAATCTGACGAAGGCTGACTCGGGCCGAAACATGTTGGTAATTTTTATCTGAAAATAGGATTTGCCCTGACTCAGGCCGACTCAGGCCGAAACATGTTGGTAATTTTTATCTGTTCTATATGAACTAGCCTGTTTAATAAAGCTTTTTAATTGTCAGAGTGCCTTGGACCGCCTTTTCTTCTCCTTCCGCAACATACAATGACTTTAACCCCCTCCAACACCTTTGAGATGAATTTGAACACTGACCTTAGTCTCCTTGTGGCTCTTTAAAAGCAATTTTTGCAGCCAGGTTCTAAAATCTTGCCCTCCCAACAGCGGAGACTGTTACAGCAGCACATAAATGCCCATGGTTTTGACTGTCACATATGAGTGGAGTCCACAAACTTAAATCCATATACTTACCACACTAGAATGTGGACCACTGGTTGAGCGCATTCTATCCAAATTAGTACTTCATATACAATTTAAACAATGACATTAAAACAACCCATAATTTATTATGTCCGTTTATTAGATAGTTAGAATATAAACACATTGTTTCACATTTCAACTTGCCCAGATCCATTTCACAGGTTCATTAAAGTGCCAAAAATTTAAAAACAGCCTCACAGAATATAAATGAAACTAAATATGTCACATTATAAATGGCAAGAAAGACTAAAATTGTGTTTTTAATACCACTATAAATAATCCAGTCAAGCAGCATGGACTTGAAAACAGGAACTGCATCCAATTTAGTCCAAGATAAACTATTTTTTCCTTCATTAGGTACAGTGGCTCTGCTTCCATAAAATTAGCGGGGCCGAAGCCTTTAGGTAGTTCACTTTAACTGTAACACCAGTATCCCTGCTTCATAAACAATATTTATTAAAAACAGTGTCATTGTCTGAGCTCTTTCCTTCCCTTTTACACTGCTTATCAATGATAGTATTCAAAGAGGCAGAACGTTCTTCTTCAAGTTGATATGAAGATCAGTTGAATCACTCAGAGTCAACCTGGAGTATTAATCCTTGCCATGGCCTGCTTCATCGTGTCTCTAGCAAGAGCGTAGCGCCTCACAATCTGCCGCACGTGCTCTTCTTCCTCACGCTTCAGGATGCGCAGAAAGTTGCATAGCTCAGGAAAACTAAATGCATCCCACTGTGGAGGAGAGCACATCACAATCTGTTGTTTATACAGATCATATATTGGGTGGTTTTCAGCATACATTGGTATGTTTATTATATGAATTAATTCTCAGAGACAAATAGAAACTTACATTGACTTCCCCTGTCTCGTTTTCTTTCAAAACCAGACTCATGACTTTTTCACTGGGTCCAGCACACAGGCGCAGGGAGAGGGGACACTCATCATCAGACAATTTACGCATGAACACTAAAGGAGAGAAAACACAGCATGTTAGAACTTAAAGGTCCAGTGTGGAGGATTTAGGGAGAGACACTGGAAGAAATCAAATATAATACAATAAGTATGTTTTCTTTAGTGTTTAATCACCTGAAACTAAGAATCGTGTTGTGTCACCTCAGAATCATCTGTGTGTATCTACATAGGGAGCGGGTCCTTGTCTACGGAGATTGCTATGTTGCATCGCCATGTTTGTACAGTAGTCCAGAAAAGACAAACCAAACACTGGCTCTAGATAGGGCCATTTGCATTTATGCATTGGTCACTGTAGTTAGCAGCCCCCCTTGGACGAGAACGTCAAGCAAGACACCAAGTTTTTTAATGTGAAACTGCTTTATTCAGTGTTTTACAAGTTTAAACCACTGGGTCTGTCTGTTTTGGAGAGTAAGAGACTTCTGTGGATAATTCGGCTCCCGGTAAAAACCTCCTGAACGTCTGGATCAGGAATAAGGTGAGCACACATTAGCAGGTGCTGGGCTAGCAGGACATCTCCGACATGCCACACTGTGTCAAAGAAACACTGATTTGTGACATGAAACTGCTTTATTCAGTTTTTTTTACCAGTTTAAATCACCAGGTCTGTTTGTTTTGGAGAGGAAGAGACCTCTGCGGATAATTTGGCTCCCAGTAAAAACCTCCTGAATGTCCGAATCAAAAATAAGGTGAGCACAAATTAAGATATCAGAGAAAAAAGGTGAGGACACTTTTGCATGTGCTGGACAAGTGGGCCGTCTGCAACATGCTAAACAGCGTAGGAGAATCACTGATTTTAAATGTGAAACTGCTTTATTCAGTGTGTCTATCGGTTTAAATTACCAGATCCGTTTGTTTTGGAGAGGAAGAGACCTCTCCAGATAATTCAGCTCTTGGTAAAAATCTCCTGAACAAAGAACACTAAAGGAATCCTAACCAGGAGAAGTTTCAGCTAGTTGCAATCTGCAATCTTCACCACTAGATGTCACTAAATCCCCCTAAACCTTACAAACTGGACCTATAATACTTAGTTCTGTATTGTTTTACAGTAAGAACACATTGTTGAAGACTCTACCTTGACTTTGTCTCTCGGTGCGTTCAAACAGGGCAAACTTTGCCGGGTTGTCCACCACTGTGAACTTGTTGAGCAGTGCCTCGATGACTTCTCGCACACGTGTTTGGGAGCTTATATGCAGGTGCTTGGCAGCGTCTTTGGGGAGGTAGAAAGATGTCCGCCGCTTCATCCGTCTGTCCTGATGATCTTCCTCTGGTGACGAGCACAGGCTCTGAGGGGGAGGGAGGGAGATGGGGCGGACTAACTGGAAGTGGACCTTGATGAAACCAGTGTAGGACCCGTCTTTATTCTGCAAGGGAGACAGATATATGTTGTAAGAATGTGGGAGAAAGATACTGAAACAATTAAAATACAGTTCAAGTACACTTTTTTTCATGAATGGATGTTTGGAGAAAAAAGGTTTATCCATCACTCACAATCACCATGTAGAGGTTGCTGTTGATCTGTGCATTGTATTCCTTCACCTTCTGATGAATCTCACTAACAGTCAACTCCTGTTTCCTCCAGTCGATCTGTTCATCCTAAAAGAAAAGGTACAGGACATCCTAACAAGTGAGTGTTAAAGAGAGAGTGACTGATGAACTATGCCATCGCCTCACCGCTGATCGTCTGACCTTGTGAAAGAAAGATGTGTGCGCAGTAAAATACAGTTCCAGCTCTGAGTCCTCCTGACTGCAGAATGTGTCACTCGCTGTGCTTCCCCAGGTCATCTCTGAGCTTCAGTTCAGCGGGAGTTTTTTAGATTTTTGTCATCAACAGAATCTAAATCTAATCTCTAATTTGTGGAGTTGTGTGTCAGAATTTTCCAGAGCTTCCCTCTGTCTCTCTCTTCTGTGTGGTGAGATCTGATTTTGCAAACAGCTCCTTTGACCTCAGCATTTCCATTTGCTCCTCCCCGACAATAAAACCTCACAAAGGGCCGGCCCACTCCCAGAGGAGATCTGCTCAAATTATCCTAATAGCATAACCTTCACTCAGTGTTACTGTTGTTGTGTGTACATAACATTACAATGTAATTTCCATATAAATAACTGACTATATCACAACTTCACCAATTGCTTTATTTTTTGGAAATTCACTATACCCTCACACTCTTTAAACACAGTCTACCAGGACAATTATTTAGGGTAGTGATACTCAGCACATCAGAATGACAAGCTGATTCACACTGGGATTTCCTTTTTTACTTTTATAGTTAATATGGTGCATAAACAAGCATCCAAATAGAGCTAGAACAGAGGTCTGGGCTATTATTTCTTTATATTAATGATTGATGTTAGTTATTAACTGGCCCCCTGTCTTCCTGCAGAAGTGGCCCCCGGGCAAAGCCAGTTAAGTATCTCTAATGTAGGGCCACAGAAATCATGTTAAAATCTACTTTTTCAGGAGCAGGAAGCTCAGTCAGAGTCAGTATAAGTTCTGGAAACAGGAATCTTTGCAAAATAAAGTCAATAAAATCAGATTAAAAGCTTTGTGACCTTTTGTTTTGTGGAAGAAATACCTGAATCTGTCCTGCCACTGTATAAATTATAAACGAGGTTCAGCAAAATAGTGAGTTTCTCAAAAATAAGGCCATTGGTGAAGTTGTGATACGGACATTCAGAAATGATATATCACGCTGCATTCTCTGTCTATAGGGACATTTATCCTGTTTTTTGCAGGCCTAAAAGAATGTCACATTGCCAGAAATAAAAGTATTTTCTCCTGCAACTCCTTGCATTGTGCAGCGTGACGGCCCCTGAGGTGCTAAGTTGGTTGTAATTTAACAGAGACGGTTTTTTCCCTCTGTTCTTGAAGGTGTCACAGGAGTGCAGCGGCTGCAGTCTGAGCACCTGGGCTGAACTGAATGCTTCTGGAGAGTGAAAGCCCAGCTTCAGTGTTGTTTGTCCTCTCTCTCCACTTGGACTCATCTCCTCTGACACTGCACGTTTTGCCTTTGTTTGGTTTTTCTTTCGTTATGCTTACCTTACATGACACTGTTTTCACTCACTCACATCTGCATTACTGATTTACTGATTAGCCACATTCCATATGTAGTTCTTTCTTTAGTCGTTAATTTTGTTACAGAAAATACCTTTTGATTTAACGCCATCCACCTTTGTCCCTTACCATATTTGTCATGGCCTAGGAGCCGGGTTATGACATGCAGTATGTAAGCCAGGATGCTTTTCTGGCTAATGTACCCTACGATTCTCTGTGCAGCAGAGGATACGTCACATTAACTGAGCTGAGATTACAATGCATTCAATATTTTGTGTGACTCGTGTGTATAATTAAAACATTAATATACAGTATGCTCATTTCGCAACACAGACTGCAACGGATACATAAGCGCGAAGGTCAGAGTTCAAGGCGCAAAGTCATATGCCTCAATTGTATGCGTAGTCCATGCAGCCGTATTTACTTTGTAAGGGCAGCTGCAGTACATACTGACAGTAAAAAGAAAAAAATTGCGATTCAGAACGCAGCTTTAGTCTGAGCAGTGGGGTGGCTGTGGTAGAGCAGATCTTCCAGTAATTGGAAAATTGGTGGATTCATCCCCCAGTTCCTCCAGTCCACATGTCAAACTATCTGACACTGAACCCCATATTGCTGTGTGTGAATGCATGTGAATGTTAAACAGATGAGCAGGTGGCACCTTGTATGGTAGCCTTGGCCAGCAGTGTATGAATGTGAATGGGTGAATGTCATGTTAAAGTGCTTTGAGAGGTCAGAACACTAGAAAGGTGCTTTATACATGCAAGTCCATTTACCATCCATTTAATTAAGCAATCCCTTAATTATCTGATAAGCTGTATTTGTTTTTATTGTTCTGAAACAAAGGCAGCTGTTTCATTTCAGAGTTGTTAAGCCATCCCCTCCCCCTCTGCCTCTCTTAAATTACTTTCTGTATAGATGCGTTGACAATGAGAAGGCAATAAAACCACAATCTCTGAGGACATATGGCACATACGGACAGCAGTGGACAATCTGGTAGTCTCCATCTGCTTTGACCTGCACACCTACAACAATTCCATGAGGACTGCTGTCTGTACAAATGTACTGTTGATACAAGATTGTTCCCTCACCACGTTTGTGTCTGTCTCAAGGGAGTCGACAGAGAAATCTTCCTGGTCTGCTAACAAACTTCCATCTGTGCAGCAGTCCAGCTGGATGAACGGTCGGCAGCGGTGGTGACAAGTGTAATTGCAGTCTGAGAAGAAAGAGAGAGCAGATTTGGAATTCTCAGCGATGCTTTGGCTCATGGTCAGCTCTTGTTCTGTAGAGCCCTCTGGTGTGGATTTTGTGCAGTAATCTGTCCCTGTGCTGAAAACACATCACCCAAAACACACTAACCTAGATGCATTATGGAAGCAACAACTCAAAATGTTTGTATGTATAAAACAAAGAATGCTTGGTTTTTATATTATAGGCTGTTATTATAGGTGCTGAAGCAGTTCATTTCTTTGTTGAACTGGGGCAGACATGCCTCAAGTCTTAAGACAAATATATTCCTAGGAACTATCTGTACCAACGTGAAGCTTGCCAGAGCTTCCTATAGATTAAGACACACTGTGATAAAGTTTCTCATGAATGGAAAAACAACACGAGCATCCTGCGTTCTAGTGATACTGGAAAGTGTGGCACAGCCCTGTGAGCTTTGGATGGGCATGACGTAGTTGTTAAGGAGCACAGAGCTGATTTAGGCTTTAGTTTGAGGGCATTTTAAGCCATTTCTAATAAGGCTAAAGGTTTTTATTTCTCCTTACTTTACTCCAAACCTTGAGTAAGAAACCACAATGGTTCACAACATCTATTATTAAGCGCATATGAAGGAAAACAATGACTCAAGACAGCCTAATACACTTAACGTCACTGTGTCTCATGCAGTAAAGATTTGGTGGCTGGTTGCATGTCTTTGCTTTGTGGTTCATTGGTTGAAGAAAAGCATGCTCATCATGTACACACCAAACATAAAGGACAATCGGGTGTTTTTGTATATTTTTCTTAATGCCATAATCAACAAGTCTGTTTTTCGTGGCTCTACACGCCAAGCCCATTTGTTACTACTCAAATTTAAAGGTATACTATACAGGATTGTTGGTTATTGTTTTAAAAGAAAATGCTCACTAGCTAAATTCAAACTAAAAGCAAACACCAGATTCAATATCATTTGGCAATTTGCCTCACTATATTTGTGTTTTTTAGGCACCCTTTCTATTGGATTCCTGCTGCTTACAGTCACTACCTTTTAATAAAGCCCTAACCTCACCTGTACACCGTGTGGGTACACACCCACAAACGTCCTGAGCACAAAAGATAATAAGAAAATTTGGGCGGAGTCTCTACAGATAAATACAAAGCTACACTTCCAGTGGGTCCTAAGTCATGATTGAGAGGGATTACTTCTGTATGAGTCTACTTTTTTTTTATTCTTGCATAGTATATCCTTAAATCTTTAAAAAATGGTCTCTAATGTAGGCCTATACTTTAATTTTTAAAAATGGCTAATTAATTTACTAATGAGCTGGGCACTGTCGTTTTTAGGAAATGTTACAAACAGAAGTAAATAATGGGTTTGCTAGGAACTATTTTCAGCCGTGGATTAATACTAAGCAGTAACCTCCTGGGCTGAAAAATGAAGCCAATGCGGAAGTGCCAAAAACTGCAGTTCCTCTCACGGCCACTTGAGGCTGGCTCTAACAGCGAGTCAACCCCCGTAGACCCTAGTGATAAAGTGGCCACTTTTAACTAGAAATAAACATCTTTACAGCCTGGAACAAAAAACAGTTTGGGGTCTCTAAAGCTATTGACAGCTGTACAGGGGGTGGATTTTTATGTAACTCACCCATTTAAATTTTACTATGGCTTTAGGTTATGCATAATTAAGGGCATGGACACTTTTAGTATGCAAGCATCATATGATCTGGTAGAGTAACCATGGCGTAACCCTTGATTCACACAGTATAGGCATAGCCGTAGCTGTCACTATTTGTGTTTTCAGTCCATGAAACATAATTATATTATTTTGGTCACCCTAACAAAGTCATGTTCAGCATTTGGTTTTACTAATAGACACTCGAAGGAGTCAGATATTCAGTTTATACAGTAAATTATGTTTTGTTTTAATGATTTTAAGCCTGTTTTTCCAATACTGAAAATTAGCACTATCACATTTAACCATAGTTGTAAATGCACCATGCTAACCAAGCTATCAGCTAGCATTATGGTTAGCTCTGCCCTTAAGTCCAAATTTGGCCCATTCTTGCTCCAAATTTCCAAGATGGCGTCGCCCAAAATACCAAAGTCAAGGCCTCAAAACATGAGTCCGCAAAAAAAATGGCTACGTCCATTATTTTACATAGTCCATGGTCTATGGCACAGAGAAATAAGGCTTTGGCTACACCTGCAATTTAACCCTTGGTTTTTGGTCTTCAAATGGGAATCGCTGACAGTAAGAAAAATATCATCAAAACAATTTCACATGCAGAGTGTACTCACTGGTGCAGCGTAAACTTGGCTTATAAAGCCCCCAGATGAATTCTCCACACAGGTCACACCAGGTGAGCTGGGCGTGACTGTAGGGCTGGAAGTCATGACCCACTGCGGCCTCTCCTATCTGACACCCAGGTGGCTCGATGCTGACGCTGTCTCCGACCAGACGGACGACATGGAAGTGGCTTGGCTGACCCGGGTTTACAGGTGGGGGTGCTGTACGGGCAGCGGGAGCAGCCAGCTCAATGGAGTCATTGACACTGAGGTCCTTCAGCTCGATCAGCTCACATTTAGACATCCTGTCCCTGATTCAGACTCTGACATGTCAAGTGAGCAGTTGCTGTCCATGAGCTAGTATGGGTGTACATCCAACCCTGAGAGGAGACTACATTAGTATGTGCTCCTTCGCATTCTGAGTGAGGATGTTGTGAACCCTGGGCTCTGATGATATGGTCAGTATTTGGGCAAAAAGAAGGACTAGGTAAGTTCTTTAAGGATGTGCAGAGGAACTGGTGGCAGCTGAATCCTGCAAGATAATCACAAAGGATACACAAGTTTATGTACGATACATTAACTACATGTATGGGTCACAGTCAGCTTAAAGGGACAGTTCACCCCCAAATCAAAAATATGATGTAGAGATGTCTGCCTTCTCTCCAATATAATGGAACTAGATGACACTCATCTTGTGGTGCTCAAAGTGCCAAAAAATATATTTGAAAAACCGGGTAACTCACACAAAACAAGAGGAAAAATATGTATCTTTGATATATGTGTGAACTGTCCCTTTAACATAACTGACATATTTAAATCTGTTTAGATCAGCATTCATATAATCAGTGTCTATGCTGTATAACAGTTTGGGCTTCACAAACAGAAAAACAAGAGATTAACCTTTGTCATCTGATGCCAGGATTCATATGATTATGATAAAATGTGGGACAAGCTAACTGGTATAATCCTGTGAAATCCAGGGACAACTCAGACTGTTTTTCTCTGTGTGACACTGAAACAAAACTGTATAGGCATGGGCCATTAGCTCTAACATTTAATTATTTATATTCAGAAGGTGAAGAACTAACTTAAATCCATCAATTCATTGATAACTGGCAACACACTGGAAGTAAAAAGTATAACGTTTTTAGACGTATTTGTCATGTATGCATATTTTACAGCTACAAGTGCTGAGTGTCTGACACACAGTGGTGGAATGTACTGAACAGGTTAAGGGTACTTGGATTTTAGTATTTCCATTTTAAATGTATACCTCTTCTCAACTGTGTTTAAGGATAAATATTCTGCAGTTCCTCCACTGTTTATTGTATAGCTACAGTGATTTTGCAGATTATGATTATAGTCTACATATAAAACATAAAATCATTTTATAGAATGAGGAGACATTGTTGTAGATTAAACTATGCAGCAGTGTGAAACAAAGGTAAAGCAAGTGGCACGATTGCACACTACAACATTAAAATGCTGCTTACAGTCAGGGGTGTGGTACCAAATTCTGGGCCCCTATGCAAACCCCCACCCTTCCTCTCTGGATCCATATCTCTGTCACGCACCTTTTAATTTGTTGGGGGTTTTTTTTTGTATAAAGTCAATTTGCGTTCTTTCCCTTTCCTTACTATCTTTCTTTTTTTTTGGAACCTTGATGTCTCTTTTTGGGGAAAGATATGAGCAGCATAAGCAGTCATTCACTCAGCTCTGGCTGAGTTAAGAGACAAATTCTTGTGCAGGGGTGGACTAAACCATTTTGTGCCCTAAAGGGGTGAGAGGGGCCCTCAGAAAGCGTCCTCTATGTTTTTTAACAAAGTTCAGTCTTTCAACAGATTTATTCGACCAGTCTTAATTTAGCTATGGCACTAACAATTTAGAAATAATAAATAAAACCAAATTTCTCATTCCAGACTTTTTCAGGCCCCCCTTTCAACTAAAGCCCCGAATATCAGTCCCACTTTTTTCCCCTACTTTGACCCTGCTGCTTACAGTATATGCTGATGTATCAGTGATATTAATCAATTGATAAAATATAAAGTGGCCCAAACTAAGATGGCAAATCAAAGAATAAAACATGAGGTATTGACGGCAAAACTGAAACAGAGCCAAACTCACACGCACCACCAATACCACTGCCAGGGTAACTGGTCTCCACGCATCCAACCTCTCAGAGTTAAACATCAGAGCCACTGCACGCATTGCTACCTCAATAAAACATGACAACACACACCCGCTCAATCACTACCTCACCTCACTGCCCTCTGGACGCAGGTACAGAGCACTGAGGAGCAGAGGGGCTCAGCCATAGCTAACTTAAATAACAGGCATCGCTGAATAGGCCTGAGTGTGCACTCCTGTCTGTGTCGTTACTGTGATGTTGTCCATGTTGTTACTGTGTGCTGCTGTACAGTTTACATGTCTTCCATATTCTTACTGTGTGCTGTGTATTTCCTGTTATCTGATAATGTACGGTGCTGGGAAAAACAATCTCCCCTCAGGGACAATAGAGTCTGAGTCTAATAATATAACATCACTGTTGGAGAGAGATTACTTACATGTAATATACATGTAATAGAATTATGTAAAGGTAACTGTAATCCATTACAGGTAAATATGGAATAAAATTACAGTTACTACTCAAAATGTTCGTGGTTACAAAGGTCACCTCTAAAGCTCGACCTGTTGTCTCAGACTCTCACCATCCCCTCCATGTTGAGTTTCACAGATACTTCTATCAGGGCGGAGGTTTAAATGTAGCACTTAGCGTTACAGATCGTCTTTTGTCCCGTCTGCTGGCGCTTATCTTAACCAGCAGTGACCACTATCTGCCCATGATTTACCCCTGACAGTGTGTGATTCTGGATTCTGTGTGTTGTCAGTATTGTACTGTGTGTTTTGTTGCACTAATGAGGACTGTCCATGTCCCAAATTGCCCCTCGGGAACATTAAAGTTTTACCATACCTGACTCACCTTATATTATTCTAATGAAGTAATTAAAACAGCTACATTACTTATTACAGAAGTGTGGTTGAGAGCGTCGTGACATATTGCATTTCCACCTGGTATGCCAGCTGCAATGTGTCAGATAAAAAGGCCCTGCAGAGGATAGTGAGGACAGCGGAGAGGATCATTGGGGTGCCACTACCCTCTGTCCAGGAGGGCTCTGAGCATCATCACAGATCCTTCACACCCTCTCCACAGGCACTTTGAACCGCTGCCATCAGGCAAACGCTACCTCACTGTCAAATCTAGGACCAGTAGAATGCTTAACAGCTTCCTCCCACAGGCTGTGAGGATGCTAAACAGTTAAACTGGACTCTGGAACCCACGGTAGTCAAGTGGGCAGATTGTGATTATAAAAGATGCTTTATAGAGAGTGGTAACTACTTTTTTGTTTCACCATGAACAGCAGAAAATTGTGTGATGAGTTTAGGCACTATGTTTTATATTTACTGTAGAACTTCAACTAAAAGCCTGGTCCCACTGTAACACCCAGTTCCTTACTAGCACGGTATAGCTAAACATTTTGACAAATGTCTCAATTAGACGCCTGGTCTGGTTGCCAAGCAGTTCATCTTTTGTAATAGAAGTTCTTTGGCTGTATAAACCCAGGTTGTTGGCTACCTCAAACTATGTTTCCATTCCTCTATCACCCTGTAAGTTATTCATATTCCTTTAGTCAGTAAGCATCATCAGATCAAGAGAATCAAATGGGTTTTTCATAAAAATGAACCCAAGATGTGAGTATTGTCTTAACAGGATAAAGTGGTGTTGTGTCGGTGTTAAGGAAGAGGAGGAGGCTCAGAAGGAGGGGTCCACTATTATGGGCATCGGTCCAAATGCTTCAGCCATTAAACTCTTTTTTTGCACTCAAAGATTTATTTCCAGACTCAAATTGCAGTTAAACATTTACTGTTGTATGTGTGGTGAGATGACAATTAAAGCCTGATTTGATTTGAAACATGTTTCACAGGGTAACTAGTGATCTATAACCTGTTACATGTCAAAAGTAATCTTCCCAGCACTGTGTAACAGTGGCAGGAGCCATTGTGAGGGAGGGCCTATAGTTTCAAGATTTTAAATTTATTTTGCTGGTTGATGTACTTTTATCTAGGTTTTCTCTCATAATAGAGTATTTTACATTGTGGTTTTGCTACTTGCAGTTAAGTAGGCTAAATAATCTGGATACTTCTTCCACCACTTCAGATAGCAGCCTGCAGACAGGGGCTGATATGCAAACACATTTTTTTCTGAGCTGTAGAGCTGAATACTTTCCTCTGAGGAGAAAAAGTGTAAAATGTTCACAGGTGCATGAGAAACTTTCAGTAGTTTCCCTGCGGAGCTGCATTGTGACTTGAATATGAACAACCCGGGGCTCTATGTGCCAAGTGGGTCACCACACGGCGCAATTATCCACACAGGGCAACAAGAGCACATTGTACCGGTCATCATCATCATCATCATCCGTGATCATTTTCTGCTGCTTCTCTCAAAAACTACTCCCCTGGGAAACCGAGCAGACATGGCTTTACGTTTAAATCACGCTTTAATTTGTAACTCCTTACAAAACGCAGCTCGGTCTGTAACGGGACAGCCCGGTTTAACCGTGTCTGAGGCGGGACGACAAACTCAGCTGACAGTGACACCGGAGGAAATGACGGATAAACCTTTAAAAAATGACCTTACCTCCTTTAATTCAGCCGCGCCACTTATCGCAGAGGAGATTTGGAGAGTGAACGCAGTTTGTGGTTTGTGTTAACACCGAGCCGTCCCCCCGTCCCGGCGCACGCACTGGTGTTTGCGCATGCACATTGTGAGTGAAGGATTACCGTCTAATCCCGTATGAGTATTAAACATCCTCCACAGGAAGGACCCTCTGTCCACACACACAGGACACACATATACTACTGTGTGTCCTGCACGGATGGGGGTTCAACAATAGTAAACATGCAGTCCATTAATTTTACTTTTATGGTAACAAATCCTAAGGCACCCTTTATAAAGTATTTATAAATTGTGACTACAGCTTTATAAATGTTTGATAAATAATGATCTGATGCTTTTAAAACATTTATAAATCACTGTCTTTAATGATTATTTATTACTTCAGTTTTTTTTTCTTTAGAACATATACATTATGATCACCAGGATAAACACCATGACTGGGGATTTTTTGCCAACCTGGCAACCGTTGCTCTTATGACTAGTTTATGCAGTATTAGTGAATTATTTATTAACCATTAATAAAGCCCTTAGTTACAATTACAAGTCCTTTATAAAAGATGCCTTACTAGAAAGTGGAAGCCACTTTTGCCATGTCTTATGGACAGCAGAAAATGACGTGATAGGTTTAAACATCACTGGCCACTTTATTAGGTACACCTGTTCAACTATTCTTAATGCAATTAGCTAATCAGCCAATCATGTGGCAGCAACTCAATGCATTTAGGCCTGTAGACATGGTCAAGACGACCTGCTGAAGTTCTCCAGAATGGAGAAGAATGATGATTGAAGTGACTTTGTATGTAGCATGGTTGTTGGTGCCAAACGGGCTGGTATTTCAGAAACTGCTGATCTACTGGGGTTTTCACACAGAGCCATCTCTAGGGTTTACACAGGATGGTCCAAAAAAGAAAAAATATCCAGTAAACGGTTAGCCTGGAAATCCAGACCAAAATCTAGAAAGATTGACTCGCTGAGCAAATTCAAATTGTGCTCTCGCAAGAACTCTGGATTTCCAGGGTAGTGAGCGCTAGTTCTTTGGGTGAAAATGCCTTGTTGATGCCAGAGATCAGAGGAGAATGGTCAGACTGGTTCAAGATGACAGAAAGGCAACAGTAACTCAAATAACCACTTGTTACAACCAAGGTCTACAGAAGACCCTCTCTGAACCAACAACACGTCCAACCTTGAAGCAAATGGGCTACAGCAGCAGAAGACCACACCAGGTGCCACTCCTGTCAGCTAACAACAGGAAACTGAGGCTACAGTTCACACAGGCTCACCTAAACTGGACAATAAAAGATTGGAAAAATGTTGCCTGGTCTGATGAGTCTGGATTTCTGCTGAGACATTCAGATGGTAGGGTCAGAATTTGGCATAAACAACATGAAAGCATAGATCCATCCTGCCTTGTATCAACAGTTCAGGCTGGCGGTGGTGGTGTAATGGTGTGGGGGAGATTTTCTTGGCACACTTTGGGCCCCTTAGTACCAACTGAGCATGGTTTAAACACCAAAGCCTACCTGAGTATTGTTGCTGACCGTGTCCATCCCTTTATGACCACAGTGCACCCATCCTCTGATGGCTATTTCCAGCAGGATAACGCACCATGTCACAAAGCTCAAATCATCTCAAACTGGTTTCTTGAACGTGACAGTTGAGTTCACTGTACTCCAATGGCCTCCACAGTCACCAGATCTCAATCCAATAGAGCACCTTTGGGATGTGGTGGAACGGGAGATGCACATCATGGATGTGCAGCCAACAAATCTGCAGCAACTGTGTGATTCTATCATGTCAATATGGACCAAAATCTCTGAGAAATATGTCCCACATCTTGTTGAATCTATGCCACCAAAAAATTAAGGCATGTCTGAAGGCAAAAGGGAGTCCAACATGGTACTAGCAAGGTGCACCTAGTGAAGTGGCTGGTGAGTGTATTTGAAATGTATTTTAGTATGTTGTATGTGCTCTATGTTAAGGTCTGTGTTTGTACTACAAAACTGGCTGTCAGACAAACTTCTCTTGGGGACAATAACATTAAAGCTTAGTCGTATATCAAATTTTGCTTCAAACCTTTATGGGATAGGCTGTCCATTGATAATCAAAAATGATTTTAGTCAAAGGGGGATTTAAATTAGTCAGTATAATGTGCTTTAATTCCCTAATGAATGATACTTTTGATCAATCTGAAGCAGAGGAAGTCACTTTTTTCAAACGATGGATGTTTCAGTTTGGAATGAATAGACTCTTTAATCTTTGATAAGGGGCCATTTGGAAATCACTCAATGGGGGAAAAAGCCTCCAGGCTTAAATATGAGGGGCAGATGAAGAAAGGCTCTTCTTATCTCTCCCAGGCCAAACAAGCATGTTGGAAAACCGTGAGGTTTACGGTGCCACGCTCTTATTTTACTCACTGAGTTCATTCAGTCTGTGTGGAGAAAGGAAAGAGGGATCCCACTGTGACAGGAAGGAATATAAGGAACTGTACAGAGAGTGAGTAAATCTGGATAGTTCTCTTTCTCTACTGCTATTACTATTTTATTCCCTATGCCATACAGGCAATGAACACACAATGACTGTATGTATGTGTATATATTATTATTGCTCCTACCTGCCTATATGCACTTTACTTTTACTTAACTTAAATTGTGAATGCAAGACTTTTACGCGTAATGGGGTATTTTTGTACTTTAATATTGTCACTTTGATTTAAGCTAATGATTTAAATGCCTCCTTAGCCAATAAAGTGATGAAGTAAAACTTGGATATTTTATTATCCTGAGTATGGTGTAAACTGGAACAGTAATATGGGAGTTACTTTTTTGATGTTATATTTTAGTGCCACCATCTGGACAACACACAATCCTGAGTTATGAGTGGGGGTCATAGCAGAAACCCACATGGACAGTCTGGCTCCTCTGGAAAACACAAACAATGAAACCAACAAAGAAACACACAACATACATTAAGTGTTACTAAGCACAGTTGCAGTGTCGTCAATCTATAATTAGACTTCATTTTTATAAGCTTAGCATGAAGAGACCATATGGCACTGTGTGTGGTGGGCATAATGTGTCTTTATTATAATGTGTGTGTAAGACAGAGAGAGAGGGGGGATGTCCTAAATGAGCATGTTGTTGTTTTCTTGCTGTGTGTGCCCAGTGTGTGGAGGCCCTGCAGAGTCACAAGCTTATGAGAGAGTAATTGGAGCACAATAACCTGAACAGCTGACCAGTGTGTCCACTCAACTGTTGGATGTAGAATGGGTGGTATTAGTCCGAGACATCACATCCTGAACCAGCCAGTTCCCAGACAGCAGCATGCACCCACACTGATGTCTGATGATGTACTTGCTACAACTTTTACAGTGTTAGTTTGACTTCACAGGGTCATGGTTTAGATTTGTGATTATAACCATGTGAGTTACAGTCCAACTAAAGTGTACAGCTTTAAATACAACTTTGTGCCTGCAGTTCCGGTTTTGACTCAACCAGAGAAAAGTGTTTTCCCTAAATGCATGGGGGGACTCTTTCTAGGAAGCATCCACGTCAGCCAGGAGCAGGTGCGTTAAATTCACCAGAATAAACAGGGATTTCCGGGCACTCACATTTCAGAATAAAAGCGTAAAAACTTAGGAAAGCGCTGACAGCTTGTGTTCAAGGTGATATGAACTCACTGTTTTGACTCTTCTCTTCTAGACCTCAATAGGGCAACTAAATAATATTGGGGTCAGGCCGATGTCAATCAAGCGCAGCTGGAAAACACCACTCACACTCCTCACATGAAGTCTTATCACACAAAATATATAAAAATCCCTATGTGGGTAGACCCTGTGTGTGGGGCCTTTAAAGGCTTTGCAACACTTCCACGTGCAGTGTGAACCCAGCATCAAGGCTTGTTGTTTGTTTGGTAGTGGTATCACTTTAAGGATACTGGTATTGGTACTGGTATCGTAATTATTTAAATGGTACCCAGTCCCTAGCTTTCTCTGAGGTAATGGAAACACAACAATTCTCAGTTTAAGGTATTTATAAACTAAAGAAAACAGTTATAATCCTCCTAAGGCCCTGTGTCCCCATATGAGTACATCACATTGTGGGTTTACTTGACCTTGTACTTCATTCTACTTAACTTAGACCTGTTGTCCTCATTTGTGGACACTTTTTGGTGCTATCTAGTGGTAGTAAGAGCACAATACACTAATCCATGTAAAAACAAGATGGCAGCCATTTCTGCCAAGTCAGTCTGTAGCCGATCCCGACACAAAAGAAGACAAGGTCCAAAAGGTGATCACATGTAATGGTTGAAACTTGGTAATTTATGATTAATAATGCTTGTAATTTGATATGACAACAAATTTGACCAATGTTAGCAACAGTAACAAGCTAAGACACCGTTTATTAGGAAGTACTCGTTTGAGGACATTAGACTTTATCATCGTCTTGTTTGAGGACATTAGGACTTAATTATCATTGACACTTTTTAGTTTTTTTTATACTTATCAGGTCCTGTTAGGAGAAATTAAAATGCAAACAAGACAAAAGTTCGGGTCTCAGGAAGGTATTAGATACCATCCATCCATTTTTGTAACCACTTATCCTCTCGAGGGTCGCAGGGGGCTGGAGCCTATCCCAGCTAACATTGGGCGAGAGGTGGGGTACACCCTGGACAGGTCGCCAGACTATCACAGGGCTGACACATAGAGACAGACAACCATTCATGCTCACATTCACACCTACAGACAATTTAGAGTCACCAATTAACCTGCATGTCTTTGGACTGTGGGAGGAAGCCGGAGTACCTGGACAAAACCCACGCTGACACGGGGAGAACATGCAAAATCCGCACAGAAGGGCTCCCCTACCCCGGGTTTGAACCAGGAACCCGTGAACCAGTGCTAACCACTGTACCACCGTGCAGCCGATATTAGATACCATTTCTGCCAGTAGAAGCCCCTAAATCCTAAACACTGGACTTTTAAATTAGGGGTATTCCCCAACAACTTTGCCATTAATGTTATCAAATTGAGACAAATGAACTAACACAATAGGGCCCCTGATGGTAGTTTGCAGGCATTTGTATCTATTGAGTGATGGTGGAGGGGCAAGACAACACTTTATTCTGAAAAACCTAACCGGAAGTGCTAGTTTCTCTCGGCCGCCGTAGCTACACAGCACTGTATCGCATGTTGGACTTTGAGTAGAGAGTAGTTATGTTCTTGATTTCGTAAGTTACCGGTAAGTCAGGCTAACGTTATTTAAGTCCCGTCTGCTAGCTTTGAATCAACAGGACTTTAGCAGGAGCAGCTAACGGTTACTTTACACCCACCATCACTTCCGCTTCTGTTTGAGACTGGTTTGAGAGTTCACTTTAGGTGACACAGTGGCAACACAGTGGTGCGGGTCGGTCGCAGGTGAGCTACCAAAGTCCACATAAACTGTCTTTAACATGGTTTACAACAAAGAGACAGACCCTGAGCCTCGGGTCTACGGTTACACCAGGACAGGCTCCGCAGTGCTGACCCACTGTGTCTGTATCGTCTTCACTGTGTTCATCACAGTCCTGTCTCGACCGGGTACAAGTGAGTGCTCCTAATATTCAAACACATTCATGTCTCTGTCTTTGTTTGCATAAACCAGTTACTAATTTGATTGTATGTGTTTTATTTTAGGCTGGTTTTCCTGGCATCCTTTCTTTATGACATTAGCGGTAAGTTAGAAGCGTTCATAATACTTTTTTCAGGTGTAAACACATGACATAAGTTTAATCAAACCCTCAAATGTTCATTTTAAAGCTGAAGAGAAGAAATATCAGCTTTCTGAGACTTGCAATTTTAATCAGGGCTGGGCAACATATCAATATTATATCAATGCTGTGACATGAGACTCCATATCATGTTAGATTTTGCTTATGGTAATGTCACACCCACCACATATCTCTACAATAAGACATAACAGGAAATGAGGTAAGGGAGAAACAGTCTTGATATTGCAGAAGTTTGACATACAGTCTGTATTCTCCCACCTCCCCCTCTTTAGGATTGCCCCCCCCAGCTATCACTTAAAAGGCAGGGTTTAAGTGCCAGTGTCTTACCTTCACTGCAAACAGGCAACCACTGCACCTGCCCTGTCTGTCTAACTGGGTTTAACCTGAGTGAGTCGTAATTAGATGGGGAAGCAGGCAGAGAAAAACACAAACAAAAATGAAAGAAAGAAAACTAGTCCGCCTCAAGGGCCACACCCATATCTTTTTGCCCATTGCCAGCAACCAAACAAAACCAAACAACGTAAACAGTCCCACAGCAAGAGCAGCTGCATAATCTTAAAAACACCTTAATACAGAATATTAAAATGCATACCAATTAAATGTTAAAAAAACTACATGGCTAAAATTCAAAATACCTGGCACGTCAATCTACTTTCCTACTGACTACCAGCCACCTTCAACCCAGCAGGGAAGCAGGTCTGAAATGCACAATAACAATAAATAATAATAAACAATAAATGTGAAAAACATTCAAACTCAGTAGCATAAAACATTACACACCGGTAAGAGCTGTAGGTCTACCAGTTTTTCTGCATTTCACTGCTCCAGTCTTCCTAACACGCCATCATGGGATGAGTTGTGCACCTGTCTCATTCCACCACCCTGAAACAACGTCACAGCCTTCGTTCCATATCCTTCCTGTATTACAGGTGTTACTACCTGGTGCATCTCCTTTTTTTGTCCCTGCCACATGCCACAGTAACATCTAAAGTGTTGTCTTTTCCTGGTTTTAAAGGAACAGTGTGTAATATTAAGGGCGATTTAGTGACATCTAGTGGTGAGGATTGCTAACGTAACCAGCTGAAACTTCTCCTAGTTAGAATTACTTCAGGGTTCTTTGTTTAGGAGGTTTTAACCAGGAGCTGATTTATCCACAGAGATCTCTTCCTCTCCAAAACAAACAGACCAGGTGATTAAAACCAGTAAAAACACTGAATAAAGCATTTTCATGTTACAAATCAGTGTTTCTCTGACGCTGTTTGGCCTCTCTGTGACGAGCACCTGCTAATGTGTGCTCACCTTTTTTCTGATCCAGACTGTAATGAGGTTTTTACAGTGATCTGAAAATAAAAACTTCATATTGCCTAGCCCTAATTTGAATAATGTCAACTTGGGCTTTGGGAAATTGTGATGGACATTTGATGATTGAAGATGAATCAACAATGACAGTAATGATGAGAAGCAGCCTGATTTAATTTTCTTTCCTTCCCCACCAGTTCACCTTCTTCATGACAGAAGCCATACTCCTCTTCTCCCCCCATGGCTCCCTCATCAAAAAGTATCCACACAAGACCAAAGGTCGTGTTCACTGGATCCTGCAGTGCCTCTGTGTGTCCTGTGCTTTCCTTGGTCTGGCAGCCATCTTTTACAACAAACACCTGAATGGTAAAGCCCACTTCACCTCGTGGCACGGTCTGCTGGGCCTGGTCACCGTGTGTGTGGCGGGGGTGCAGTCTTTGGCAGCTTTGCCTCTCATCTACCACTCTCTGGCCAAAGGCTGGTCCCTGGCCAAACTCAAACGCTACCATGCGGCATCCGGACTCGTCACATACCTGTTGGGCAGTGCCAGCCTGCTCCTCGGCCTGAGCTCTGCCTGGTTCACTGCATCTGTCGGGGAATACACCTGGTACCTGTCAGTGCTCTGTGCCACTCTCAATGCCCTCGTCATAATGAGCCAAGTCAGCAGAGCGTACACGGCCAAGAAACGGCTGCACTCCTGACAGAAGACACAGTAGTGACACTTTTAAACACTCGCTGAATACTTGTGCAAGGCTTGCCTTGGAGATTTCACTTTTTTGTCACATGCAATCAGCTTGATTTGCATGAAAGGAACTGATGTCTGTAGCTGCTTTGAAGGTCCTGTCTCGTCATGAAGCACCGGTGCCAAGTTTGGATGATTAGATACTTCTTTGCCTTTTTTTTTTTTTTTTTTTTACATGGCTTACACAGGACCACTATTTCTTTTCTAGGAGTTTGGGAGGTTTAGCAGCTCGAGTTGTCATTTGACAGTTACACATTTCACATGTTGGGCTTTAATTTATGACCAAATACTTCCACAATTATTGACGTTCCCATCAGCCCCAGCTCCACTTTGTGTTTACTGCTAATTAGCACGTTAGCATGCTATCATGCTGAGCTGAGCTAGTGAACATGATACCTGCTTATAATCAGTATGCCAGCATGCTAGTGTTAGCATTTTGCAAAGCATTGCTGCTCCGCCTCACAGAGCTGCTAGCATGGCCGTTGTAGACTGAATTGCTTGAAATGTGACTGATTTTAGGGACAAAAAAATAATTTCATTAAAATAAAAGGGATTTAAAGGTCCAGTGTGTTGGATTTAGTGGCATCTAGTGATGCGATATCAGAACTGAAACGTCTTCCTTGTGCTAAGCATGTAGGTAAACTATGGTGGTTGATGCAAAAATGCAAACAACCCTATGTAGAGCCAGTGTTTGATTTGTCCATTCTGGGCTACTGTAGCGGCTACACCTAAACTTAGAGCCACATTGAGCAGTGTAAACCTCACGTGATGTGTCCCAGCGTTGTAGTCAGAAAATGATGTGTGCTCCAACGTCTAGCAACACCTGTACCTCAGTTGATGGTTCCCACCTAGATTGGCAGACACCCATGACAATACAGTGATGCCTACAGGACAAATTAGCAACCTACACACATGGCAACTGTAGAACAGCATAATGGACTGCGTGGAACAGGCCCCCAGAAGTTGTGCTGTGCTTTGAAGCCAGTTTTCATAGTGGCCAAACAGTGGGATTCCGTCAGTCACGTGATGCTATGTGGCTCAGTAAGCCTTTTTTCCCTATAGACCACCATGGCGATAAGTTGATAACTTTTTTTGAGCATCACAGCCCCTGCAAAATGACTTGTTTCACTATCGAGATTTGATACATTTGGTCTGTTAACATTTGGAAAGTCGAGAAGAGCTGCACCTTTGAATCATTTCATCCCAATTTAAGATAGTGAAGCACTGAACTGGAAGTAGTCAAAAGTCTCTAATGTGCCTGCTCTATGGGCCACACAGTCCGGAAGCAGTGCCGATCATGTGGGTAATTTTAAAGGCGGCAGCGGGACCTTCTTGGCTTCATGTGCCAATGAGCAACTTTCCTGGGAATGAACAGGGTCCCGCCACCTACGCTGTAACCAGTTCTTGTTATACATTCATGCCATGGAAGAGGACCTGCTCTATATGTGGTATAAACAGCTCATTCGAAGGTAACAAAAACATGATTTTTATTTTCAGGTGATTAAAAACCAATGGAAATGTAGTTATGAATGTTATACACCATTTCTGCCAATAGGTGCCCCTGAATCCTACACACTGTACCTTTAATATTCTCAACTGACTTGACAAACCGTGCAGTATGAAGGTTTAGACAGCTTTTACGCCATTATTTGGGGGACAGAATTTCAGAAAATATTAGTTAAATTATTAAATAAAACATTTTTTTTTATTGCTAGTCAACACCTCCTGTTTGAGGTTGGATTTGTGACCTCAGTATTTCTAAGATCCTGCCAGTGGTCCTGAATAAGTGCTGAATTATTGTATCTCAGGTTGATTATGCTGCCTTTTAACTATTTATGCTGCCTTTGATTCCTTATTTGGCCAAATGTTTGAATGGAAATATTAAATGATACAGAAGATATGATGTAAATTAAAAGCATTTGTAAAAGATTCACACTGCAATAGAAGAGTGTTTTATTGTTAAAATAACATTGATAACACAGTCATATTCTGCTTCGATCTAGGCTGCATGTACGAAATTCTTACTGGATCAGCCGTCAATGGGTCAAAGTGAACAAAAGGTTAAAAAACGTAATTACAAAAAAAAGAATGTATTTTCCATCATAAATAAATAAATTTCGGACGCTTACATTGAAATAAAGGGAAACAACTGCCAGGTGAGTGGACACCAATAAGAAGTTATAAAAAACATTTAAAAAAGAATGAAATATTTCCATGAAACATAAAAAATGCAAGTAAGTGACAAGAAATTGCAGACAGGTTTAGTTTTTATAAACGGATGATTCCCAAGAGTCAAAATGCAAAGTGTTTCCAAACGGATCGAGAAGACTGAGAATAAAGACATGGCGTCAGTATGATGTACCTCGTACAGTTCACAAGCAGATATGATCCTTTTACAAAGTGCCAGCTCCACCTTTCAAATCTCAAACAAACCATCACAAGTTCCCAAGACATGCTGAAGAAAACTGGAGACATCGCTGATGATAGAAATGAAGTATCCAGAACAACAACAGGGAAGGAGCCAGTAGTAACAAACTGAACAGTACTCAGACTGTGGGAGCGAAAAGTCCCCACAGGAAAACATCTCTACAAAAAATGCAACTTTATAGGGAATGATGTGTTGTCTCAGGTTATCCAGTGTTTTCTAAAAGGCTAACAACCACTGCGTCTAGCCTATGTTACCGACGGAGGAGGGGGGGCTTTCCTAAATCTACATACCTTGAGGTGTCATCACAACACAGAAACACAAGGCTACAGAGAACAGCAAAGACCTAAACTCCCTAAAGCACTGCAGACCTACACTGACTGACACTACTGACAGAAGCTACGTACACTGCACTGCTCTTAAAGACGCTCCTCAGTGAAAAGCTAGCACATAATGGCACTGTCAGTTTGGTAAGGCCACCACACCACCTGACCTGGCTCTGCCACAGTCACGGGTGGTTGTGGTGAAATGTTCGATATCTGTTTTGATGGTTTGGTGTCTACATTGACTCAAGGCTTTGTATACTCAGCCTGCATGAATGCAATGTTTTCTACAGTTTAGGTTATTAATTGTTCTCAGCAAGGCTCTGAAAATAATTCACAAGAAAATTAGGAGAGTCAAAACTACATGGAGGGTGTAGGCTGACTGATGGTGGGGACACTATTGTAAAACTGCAACAAAAGAGAAGCGAGTGAGCTAGCAACATTAAAGGGTAACTTCAGTATTTTCAACCTGGACCCTATTTTCCATGTTTTTGTGTCAAAGTGAATAATGAATATCTATTTTTGAAACTGCTCCAGAATAAAGCAAGTGCACTGCAGCAGAAAGCCACTAAACAGGCTGCAGTGTAACCACTTGGGGCATTTGTGCACCATCCATTTGCGTCTATTTTAAGTGCTTATTTTTGCCACTGACAGGCTCAAATTGTTACTTTATGTGTCTGTCAATGTTATGGAAAGGATCCCTACAGAGATAGACATTTTTTTGAATAGTAAAAACCAGAAACAGCCCTGAAATCGCCATCGCCAAACCCACCAGACTCCATTTAAATAAACAGTGATTTTAGCCTGTATAGAGCCAGCATATTCTCACATCTTACTCTGCGAATTAAGGGTTTATTTCAACCCAAACAGAGTCTAAATGTTAAAACAGTGGAAAGACAAACAAAGAAAGTTTTTTTGAGTTTTAATTTGTTTCTGTCAACTTTGTATGAAGTGTGTTTCATAATGATAAAATTACTGATTATTGAGATGAAGTCTGGTGGGTATGGAGATGGGGATTTCGGGTCCGTTTCTAGTTAAACAAAAAAATCTTACTCTCTAACAAAAAGGTCTATCTCTGTCAGGTCCTTTCCATAATGTGGTCCGACACTTACAATAACAATCTGAGCCTCAGTGTCAAAAACAAGTACTTTTAGCGAATGTTTTGTACAGCCTGTTTCATGGCTGTGGCAGTCTCGCTCAACACTGAACCAATTTCAAAAATTGTTGTCTGCGTTAGTCACTTACAGTGGACTAGTATGACCTTAGGACCTCTGGTAATTTGTAATAACAGCAGTGGAGTTCTGTGATCTTAATCCTGCGAAAATGTGCTATGTCTGCAATTTGTCAAGTAAAAATTCCCTCACAAATTACCTATCATATTTCTCCAAACTGATAATATTAGTCTTATGATAATCAGCACCTCAGTGATTTGGGGTTGTATTTGGGTTTTCTGGTTTCTCTACACCTCATTTTGAATTATGGAGGCTGCGTTGGCAATTATAAATGAAAGTTTTGACAGCATTTTGGGTGCAGGAGGCTCTTCACACCACACAGCAAAATCTAGACAGATGCTGAGCGAAATCTAGACAGATGCTGAGATGGATAACGTGACAATGTGTGGCAGGATAGGTACTGTTTGTTTAACCTACTTGTAAAATGTACATTATCGCTAGTAGTGTTTGTGTTACAAATGACTGTGTGCATCATATCCGGGGGATAATGTCAGTCAACTTGAGTAAAATACAGACTTTGTTTATCCTGAGCAAATGTGCTGCACGAATCACAGATGCAGGGGGGTAATTTCTAAATCACACGAGGTCCCCTGGTAATACTAGCTCCGTGCAAATCTGGCTTTCGACAGAAAAACATAGGAAAGTAGAGTCCGATAAACAAATACCAGAGTAACCCTTTAAACCTTGCTTTGTGTTCCTTTTGGCTTTCACACTCGGAGCTTTTAATCACAATGCTGAATCTGCCCTCTACTTGTGTTTTGAGTTTGACACCAACTGTCTAAATGCTCAGTAGTTCTTCCAACGGATTTGTAAAAAGGATGAGATAAATGCTAAGACTCAAGACCCCTTTGTGTTGTTTAAGGCTAAAAATGAAAGAACACAGTCCGAATCCATGTCCGAGCCTCCGTGTTATCAAAGGCTAACATGAAAGTACATTCATTTTAGTTTTTAAGGGGAGGGAAAATAAAAGGAAATCATACAGCTGAACTGAAATTTGTTTCCCCAGCATCGACGTGAGAGCGTGTTTATCATCATGATAGTCACTGTAATAATAAACCATCTCCCTACAACCAAAATCTACACACTGCACAGTATTGACTTGCAATATAAACAATGATAATGACTGCTATTTACAAAGTATCAACATGTTCAGTTATAGTATCACACATAATATCCTTTCAACAGGGGATGCTACAATGTCTATCAAATTACTAAAGACTAAAATATGCTCTGAAAGCCTAACATTTCTTCTGTTAAAGGTAAGCCTCCAAGGATTTTCTCTAAATATATTGTCAAGTGGATTTTGACAAAAAAACACCAGGTTCCTTGAGTTATCTGTTGTACTCTGTAGCTTTCCAGTATTGTTTACTAAAAAAAGGAAACACTGCTGAAAGAAAACGGGTAAGTTAGTGCTCAGCAGGTGTGTGCGGCTGACACGTTTAACAGTAGGACAAATTTTGGTTTGCACTGTTAGCAATATATCATGAGACAATCCAACATGAAGCAGTTTTCATCGCGTTATCCCATCTGAATTCAGGGGGAATAAAACTAACAGCACGGCGAGGCCTTGAGGCTGTGCTTAGAGAGCCCCCGAAAGATTCAGCTGGTCCCCGAAAGACAAAGGTCTTTTCCCACTGCTCTGATGCTCCAGCTGAACAAGTCTGGGATATTCAGCATAAGGATTTGTTACTCTGACTTTGTAAAGTCATTAAGGTACAAGTTGATTCTCTCATTTTCAGGTGAGAGTCTGTGTGTGTGTTTGTGAGTGTGTGTAGTTTAATGAGACTATTAGGAATGGGAATGCAGTTTATTTCATGGGTGATTATGTAGGTTTAATGGCCAGTCTCACAGCGAGGCTGAAACACATTTAACTTATCACAGTCTCTTCATAGTGTGTGTTCAGGATTAAAACTGATTTTTAGTTCCTGAAATGTTTATTTAATTCAGATGAGTCACTTCATAATTGTATAATTTAACTTTTTTCTCTTAACCCTTAATTGAATTTTGATTTGCTCACACATCGATGCATCTGACCATTAATCATCAGCTCAGGGTAGAAACTGTAACAGAATTAATTTAATTAATTTAGTCGTGTAAACATGTAAGCATTCCCATCCCTAATGTACTTTCTGTTCGCCATGATTCATAAAATTGTGTGTGAAACTTCATCTCCAGAACGTCTCGAGTCTCTACTGTCCTGTCACCTCTATAACGTCGTCATCAGAGCTACTGCCGCCGTTCTCTGTACTCTGATGTACGTCCGGCTGGGTCAGAGCTGCCCCCAGCAGGCTGGAAGTGGGATTGTTAAAATGGGAGAGGAAACTGGATGTAGTAGAGCCGGAGTTAGACGTGGGGAACCCCCCTGACCCAGAGAGGAGAGGGGTGGGGAACATCCTCGGCTCAGGGAGCAGTGACTGACTGTAGTTGAGGGGGAAGCCTGACGAAAGCAGGCCGGCCATGTTGGGATTCATCAAGTACGGAGGCAGAGAACCTGATGCCAGGGAGGAAGAAGTTGCTGCCGAGGGTGTAGATGACATAGGGATGGTGGTGGAAGCAGAGGAGAAAACAGTGGGCAGAGAGGATGAGGAGGGGGTGGGAAGGTGTCCATTCCCTGTGGCAGACTGTCTCAGAAGGTCTGAGCCTGCAGACGGGAACATGGTCTGCAGGTCAGCCAGTGTTTGTCCTGGTGTCTGAAGGAATGACGATCCACCAGTGCCACCCATCAGAAGTGGATGACTCATGTGACTTAGGTTTCCCAGTAGGGAGGAGTTGTTCAGACCCACGGGGGGAAAACTGAGCCCACTGGAGCCCATGGACAGTCCAGGGAAACGTGCTGCGGCAGAAGTGCGTTTGCCTCCCACCTGTGTGTTGCCCTGGCTTTCAGTACTCCTACGCTTGCTGCCACGCATCTCTAAAGCCGAGCTCAAGAGGTCGTCACTGAGTTGCCTGCTGAGATCGGCAGTCTGATTGTTTTGCGAACCGCCTTCATCCCCTGCTGGCACAGCCGACATTTCTGACGGTGACGGCATTTCATTCCCCATAGCTGCGGCGGCATCACTTGTGGAGGTGTAGTGGCTGAGCTCTCTGAGGATCTCAGAGCTTAAGGGAGAGGCGGGCCGCTGCTCCCCGTTGGGGGAGCCATGCTGTTGGTCCACAGGGGATGAGCAGCCATTACTGACTGGATGGATCAGGGACCCCTGGGTGTCTGTGGAGGAGAGAGGAATTCAGTTATGAAATGTCAGGAGACATGGACAGTGTCTCTGCCTCTGAATAATTTATTCTTGAAAGGTCAATCCTGGAAATAAGACGCTGTAGCCAAATATGCACTTTAATGTACAAATGCTATTAGAAACTAAAAAATAAATCACTCCACAATAAACTTATTTCGTGTTGTGCTACAGTGTTGTGCAGCAGCGTGGGAGTGTCACTTAATGACCCATGTGTGAGGGAGTGTAGGGTGGAGAAAAAGCCTATACCCCCACATCTCAGCGCCTGACTGTGTCTCAGTAAGTATGTTTGTGTGGGTTTAAAAGATCTGTAGAATTCTTTTTGGTTACCATGTAGTATCTTTATTGCCATAAAAGACACATGCGCATACACACAAAAAAAGAAGCAAGTGCCCTTTTTAGTAGGATAGTACACAAGCTGTTTATGCATGTGTTATTTCTTTTATTCACTACAACAATTAATGACAGAGACTGTATTACTTGTTCCTGTGGACCACAGATGTCTTGTGATCTTATTGCCAGTTATGCAGGGTGATGTTGGGTTACATTTATCCCAAAGTTGAATCTGTTTTAACTTTTTGCCGCGGGCCGCTGTGGTGTTTTCAGCCCCTTCCTGTGGACCCACTGCTACAGCTTAGACGCACCACCCACATTCAAACTAATGGAAGGAGTGGCGTTTTTCGCTGCAACGCCACATTTGGTGTGAATGCAGCCTTAATCCCCTTTACATATGTAGTCTATCCCATCCTGATCAGATGCCCGAACCACCTCAACTGACCCCTTTGGACGCGAAGGAGCAGCAGCTCTACTCCGAGCTCCCTCCGGATGTCCAAGCGCCTCACTCTATCTCTAAGGCTGAGCCCAGCCACCCCATGGAGAAAACTAATTTTGGCCACTTGTATCTGCAACCTCATTCTTTCGGTCACTACTCAGAGCTCATGACCATAGGTGAGGGTTGGGACGTAGATGGACCAGTAAATCGAAAGCTTCGCCTTCTGGCTCAGCTCCCTCCTCACCACGATGGTCTGACGCAGCGCCCGCATCACTGCAGAAGCCGCACCAAACCGCCGATCCATCTCACGCTCCATTCTACCCTCACTCATGAACAAGACCCCTGGCATTGGAGACAGGTAACATGAATAATAAATAAGATTTTGTACCTCTTTGAGGAGCAGAGCCTCCAGCTGCCGGCCTACTGATCTTTCCAGATCGAATGGCAAAAATCCTCCCATCATTTGTCCTGATGTAGGTACCTGTGGAGGAGAAAATACCAAGTGATGGAGGCTGTAACCTTAAATTGCTTTGTATACAGAGAGCAACTATTGTGTAGCTGCAGCTACCTTTAGATCCTCTGATGACATGGATGCTCTCTCCTGCACTAATTCGAGCTTGAACATCTGTTGCGCTGTTGGCTCCTGGGATTACAATATCTGTAGATCAAGATAAAATGGCGGATGTTAATGTGTGGTCATTACATGTGATAAGAGATAATTCATTTTTCACACTATTTAAAAATTAAATTGTTAATGTAATATTTCAGGGTCAGTGTGGTTCTTTCAGTGATTAAAGAATATTATTCATTACCAGTTGTGGTGACGATCCTCTGCACATAAACTCCAGCTTTCTGCAGGAAGTTGACAGGCAGGCTGCCGGCAGAGCTGGAGCCAGCCATGCCCATACCGACCTGGCGAGGCATCATGGGGATAGGGGTTGACTGGATGGGCCTGACACTTGCCACAGGCTTGTCATCTGGCCGTGCCATGGCACGCCTGAAAATATGAGGGCTGAACTCATGAGATGCTCACACACATATATATATACACACACACACACACACACACACACAACAGTCATGTCTAGTCTGAGAGAAAGAGAAACTCGTGCAGAGCTACAACCTGAAACAAACCAACTTATTTAATGGTGTTTTTTGTTGGACAGGTTACAGAGAAACAAACCATTAGCAAACCATTAAATGAGATTTCCAAAAAGGAATGCAAGCTAAATCATGCAGTGTGAAACCCACCAGCCGCGTTGGTTAAATGCTGGTATGTTTGCAAGTGCCTGATCACTGGTTGGGTAATAGGGGGCATAGGATGGCCGAGAGTAGGGCACCAAGGCTCGCTTCTCATCCTCATAGCTCTTCTTGGCCGCTCTCTTCTCTGCTTTTGTCAGCTTTGACTCCTTCCGGTCCACCAGCAGGGACTCATGATGGAAAGGTTGCTAAGGAGACAAATGGGACGAAGGAAATTTAATTACAGATCAGCCGTCAGATCGGATTTTCAATGCAAGAGGCAGGTCGATCTTACTTATCTCACCACAGACGGACGTCAGCCCTTTTCAGATAGGATTTAAGTTTTACCAGGTAAAGCTGTGTGCACACTGACAAGTCATCAGATTGCTGAACTGTTGACACTACACTGCTTGCTATCTTGAAATTAGGATTACTCTTACATACTCTCAGAAATCTCACTTAAAACTCAGAACTCAAATACATTTTTCACATGCGACCCTGGTTTCTCTTCTGTAAATCAGCGTGCTATTTACATAGCACTTCAGCGCTGGTTTGTGAGCACTGAGCCAACACTGATTTCCTTCTGATCAATAAGCAATAAGATGGGGATATGTAACTGTTACTGAAAATTCTTTGCTGTTTTTATTCTCGTGTTGTTTTGCTAAGTGCTGACGCATTCAGCACTTCATTCAGTTTGTGTGTTTGTACTCTGCAGCCCAAGACCATTTGCCTGCTGGCAGTCAGAGCAGCACTCACCATACGGCCAATACTTAAATAAATAATTTAAATTTAGTATTTGACAACTTAAAACTGACACATCAAACACAACGACTGCCTTTCTTGCAGAGGCTCAGCTTTTAATTAACACCTATCATGCAACTGCACCTTGGTGATGAGGTGTGGGTAAAGCTGACAAGCTTGATACATCACTCCTTCAAACTCCTCCCGGGACACCACAGAGATTGGTTCAGGTTCCTCTTCTACAAAATGCAGCAGTGACTCCACCTCCTTACGAGTGAAGTTCAGCACGGGGTTCAGGTCATCAACCACGCGGTCTTTAAACACACACAGCAGGTCAAGACTGGATATTAAAGCAGCAACTTTCAAAAGTAAAACTTCCAAGTTTCCATTTGACGACTGTAATTTGAACAGATGTTGGCTGCACTTTAACATATAACTAGTATTAGCTGAAGCTTGAAAATGCATTAACCCTGTATCATGAGATCAACCTCTATAGTTTTGACTGGATAATATAAGGAATAGTGCAAATGCAATGTCTAACAAACAGGTGGTTCATATGTACAAATCTCTTACCAGACATGCCCTGTTTGGACACTTGTCGGTCATAGATCTTTTTCTCCAGGGTGAAATCACAGACGAGGCGGTAAATGTAGCAGGGTTTCCTCTGACCATAGCGGTACACCCTACACACTGCCTGAGCATCGTGACATGGGTTCCAGGAGGCATCGAACACCACGACACGGTTGGCCCCAATCAGATTCACCCCCAAGCAGCCCGCTCTGGAAAGAACACAGCGAATTATAATTTTTTATTTTTAAAGTTTATTTTTCAGCATTTACTTTATTGATAAGAAGAAACAGAGACAAGAGGGACTGAGGGTACGCACTATACATTATACGCCACTGGGACTCCCGTGGAACACAACAAATTATTGATAACATTTCTGCCAGTGTGTACAGAAGGTGTGAAAAATGATGAGAAAATAGAAAACAGAGACACACACCTTGTAGACAGGAGGAAGACCCACGCTGCGATGTTTTCTGGGTCATTAAACTGATTTATAAGTCGCTCTCTTTCCGAGGCAGATGTGCTCCCATCCAGTCCTGCAGACAGACATACGTCATCTCTCAACACTGAAGCATCAGAACACACTTTAACTCACACAGTGCATCATGGTCATATTTGTCATTGAATAATTACAATAAGATAAAGCTGGGAGATTTTTAATTGTGGATATTTCTATTGAATTTTTATGTGAGAGGTAGTTTTCATTTGGGCAGAACAGTGAAAAGACTACATATGTACATTATATATAAAAATAAATGAATGTTGGACAGTGTAAATCTGCCAAGACAGACGATCAAATGGGAGAACTTGATGAATTGCAGCCAGTGATACTAAATCAATAAATACAATCTTTTGAGGCTTCAGTGGTGACAACCACACTTTGTGCAGAGTTGCCAGTTTAGAAGAGAGAGCAGAGATTGAATGACTCACTGTAGTAATTGAGGTTGCGAACCCAGTTTTGGCTCTGGGTGTCAGAGGAGGCGATGCCTGTCGGCATGGGTCTCTTTGATAAGAAGTCCTCGATGACTGTCAGGGTGGACAAACTCTGACTAGTGGGTGCAGAGCAGAAACAGATAATAAGGGCAGAGTGAAGTAAGTGCACTTTGGTACAAAATAAATCCTTGATTCCAAAAAAGTTGGGATGCAATGATTTGTAAATCCTTTTGGACACACAGTGGGGAAAACAAGTATTCATCATGTCATTTTTGTCATTACACATATTTCTAATGCAGCTATTCACATGAAAATTGCATTCTGTTTTTATTTACGTTTTACACAGCGTCCCAACATTTTTGGAATCAGGGTTGTAAAATGGACTTCAAATGACAGCAGTGTTGTTGATTCCGATACATTCAAAGTTACAATTAATCAGTTAGATTATTTTATATAGCCACAGTACTGCTGTATGTACACCTTTTGGTACAAACAACTGCCAATTTCGTTTCATTAAAATGTCATGATTTTAAGTCTGATTAATTAGCTAGAATGCAAAGTCAGTTTACCTCTTCTCTAAGCTGCTGAAAGGTGGATTTGTGTTGAACACTGTACGTTGGACTGAGGACTTACCTAAAGACCAAAATCTTGTCCCCTCTTCGCACACTCTCGTCAATCAAATGGAAGAGCAGAATCATCTTGGCAGAGTTCTCCAGAACTCCTGTGCAGTAGTTTGACATTATGTCCTTTGCCTGAAACAAATCATGTGGAAGAAAAGGCTGCTGAGTAAAAAGGCGGTGCAACTCCAAGAGACTTCAGGCCTGGAGAACCCAAACAACAAACCCCAACACAGACATGACAACAAAGATACATATTGGCATAGCAGACACAACGAGTATTATGTTCTAATATTTGAAAATATGGTCATTAGGTGCTTGGGGTTTCTTCCTCTCCAAAACAAACAGATTCCGGTGTTAATACCAGTAAAAAAAAAAAAAAAAAAAAAAAAACACTGGACAAAGCAGGTTCACATTAAAAATTAGAATTTCTTTGGCACTATCTGGCACAAAATGGGCTAGAGCTGAGCTGCAACTAATGTTTGCTCAGCTTGTTTCTCTGATAACTTAAGATCCAGACATGTGATGACTAAAATCCTTAATCCAGTGACAGCTTGTGACGCTACTGACAGGTGATGGCGACCAAATGATACAGACCGTATCCTTAATTAAAATTACAGATTTGTCTGGGTTTGAACATCATTGGAATCATTTGGGATAATATGAGTAATCTTTAATTAATTAAGATCTTTTAATTTCTTTTAATCTTTTATCTAATCTTTATTTTGGTATTTTAATTAATTTAATTAAGATCTTTAATTATGTAAAACCAACTTGTAAAGCAAAGAGCTTTCTATGGACTGTCACGACATACCCATTCATACGTGATGACTTGATTGGCTCGATCCTGAGAGGGATTGAGAGGTGGCAGGGTGTTGTTGACTTTACTGTTGCTCGAGTCTGCTACTTTGGCTTTGAGGCCGGCACCCGGTGCAGGGCAACGAGGGTTACTCGCTGAAGTGATGTCATCGAGGTCCAGGTCCTGCTCGTTGGCCTGATTCTCCTTCTGCAAGGCTTCGTAGAGGACGTCGGGGTGATTCCAGATCTGGAGGGATCCAGGACAGAAAAGTTAAATGCCACAGTGGTATTGTGACAGTCACAGTAATAATGGACCTGATTCCTCAGGAGTGTACTGCTTTGGCTGGATCTTCAGTACCAGAGGTTTCTACCTATCAGCGAGGGAAACAGTCTCACCTTGCAGCATACACAGAAGGCTTTGAGTGGGTTTAGACCGAGCCAGCCACTGTTCCCTGCTTCTCGAAAGCGCTTCATGAACTCAGTATACAGCGCCCTCTGTACAGGAGAGAGCCGCACCAAGATCACATGCTCCTCCTTGGAGGGAAGCTGGTCCCGCAGCACGTCATGACCTCGTCTGCAACCCAGAAAAGCACCACAGAGAACATGGACGGGTAAGCATCATCCAGGATACTATGCATTGTTTCATGATTTCTACATCTGGCACTGACAGCTGATTTACCTCTGGACAAATCCCTCCAGCAGGCTGTGCAGCACGTGGCTGCGGTAGCGCATCAAGCGGACATCTTGAGGTGTGCTGTCCACGCACTGCCCGTTCAGAATGGGCCGCTCAAACATGTTGCTGAACTCCTGTCGTGTACCTAAAAAGTCAGGTCTAACAAAGTCCACCATGCACCAGTATTCAATGAGGTTGTTCTGTAATGGGTAACCGGTCAGGACTACTCTGCGCCGGGAGCGGATGTTCTTCAGAGCCTGGGATGTGCTGGCGTGGTAGTTTTTGATGCGATGACCCTCGTCACATATCACCACATCTGGGCCGGGCCGCGCTATGGCCCTTTCAATACCTGAAGACAAATGAGAAGAGACTGAGTGAATGAGTCTGTAAATATAAATGACACTGTATCTTGTATCTTTTATCTGCATTTGAGTTTTTAAGGCACAAAGACAACTTTACAAATTGCTTAGGCCACTGATCGCCTTAAACAAATGGCTTTTGCTGACCTTTCATGAGTTCCTGCTGTCTATCCTCTTCATCCAAGTCGATGATGATTGGTCCTGCGGGCTTCTTTGATTTCCTCTTCTTGCCCATCACAAAGCTCTTCTTCATGGACAGCAGGCGGTACATCTCATAGCCCATCAGCAGCACCCCTCCATCTCTGGACCAGTCCTCCACAACTTTGGCCCTGGCCAGCGTCGTTCTGCAGGTCACACAGTCAGCATGATTAAGAGCTCAAATGTTTGACGACAAATGCTTAACCTTGCACACAACATGACACGTCACGTACTTGTGCTCATCATTGAGAATGTGAACTTTGAATGCGCGTCCTGTGACAAGTTCAGGGTCAGTGTCGGGAGGGAGGGCTTCTTGTGGCGGGAGCCAGAGGTTAAACTCGGTCAGCCAGTTCTGGAGTGTGTTCACCTTTTATGAGGGAAACAATGATTTAGGAGGTTAATTTAATCAAAATGTGTCTTCAGAGATCATGAATGAGTGCTCTACATACTTTCTTTTAGCACAGTGTGCACTTGGATTACTCACAGGAACAATGGCCAGCACAGTGTGAGCCTCAGTATTCCTCAGTAGGATGTCAGTGAAGGAAATGACCTGCAGTGTCTTGCCCAGCCCCATGCTGTGGGCGAGGATGCAGCCAAAGCCACTGCTGGTTTTATACCGCTCCAGGGATTCAATGAGGTTATCATAGAGAAACCGGATTCCCCCGATCTGACACGAGGAGAGAAAACAAGCTGGACTGCTGGTTTCTGCTGCTGAGCGTTTAGGTATTGAGAATTTGAGTGAGAACGAGGTGGCAGGCATACCTGGTGAGGTTTGACGGCCCTGGCCAGCTGCGGAGCGAGGTAAATGTCTTTCTCGTCTGCAGGGTGACTGATATTAACCAGCACTCGACCCTGTGCGTCAGGCAGATTCATTGCGTCGTTGATGTGTGCCCCGCTGCTCTCCTCTGACGCCCCCGTGCCATCAGCATCCTCATCGGCCGACTCGCTGCTTATCTGCAGGGCGTCCTCGTCCCCAGAACTAAGCTCAATTATATCTGCACCATCACAGGGAAAAGGAGCACTGCGTGAGAGCTTTCCAGTCTCAAACTGTCTGGAGCCATTTGGAGAAAAAAAAGCATCATAGTTTCACAGAAGTATCTGAAATCTTACCATCTCTAATGGCAAGTGCAGGTAGCTTGGGGTCCACTTTTTCATCTTCATCACCACTGCTGTCCAGACAGATCACATCCTGCTTGCTCAGGAGACCAGGGACCAAGTGAGATACTTCTCCTAAAATTGAAGCAGCATCGACTATTGGGGAGATGGGAAGGTATTGGAAAATTTAGGATAGAAAGTACAAACAAAAATATGTCAAAATTAAAGGGAGAGTTCACCCCACAATAAGAAAACATGTTTCCTCTTACCTGTAGTGCTATTTATCAGTCTAAATTGTTCTGGTGTGAGTTGCAGAGTGTTGGAGATATTGGCCGTAGAGATGTCTGCCTTCTCTTTAATATAATGGAACCACTCGGCTTGTGGTGCTCAAAGTGCCAAAACATACATTTGAACATTTGAAACTCAACAGCACAACAGCAATGTCTCTTCCCACAAATCATGATCCGGTTACTCAAGATAATCCACAGACCTTGTAGGAACTATTTCCTTTCTACTCACATGCTTTCAAACTTAGATATTTGGTGGACTTTAAAACTGCACAAATAATGTAGAAAGTCTAAAAAAAAATCTAAAAAAGAACAGTGCAAAACTATTAATGTAAAAAGGTAGGTGCAATAAGCTGAGGCTTCAGCCTTCACCTCTACTGTCAGCAAAGCTTTCTTTGGTTTGTCACTGCTTCAAAAGTGACCGAAATAAACTAAACTTTCTACCAAACTACACCCACCAAGGGCACACAAGGAAGTGTGCATCTACTGCTAGCTCACCTAGCACCACTGAGCTAGCTAACGTTACAGCCCAGCCAAGGAGGACGCCATTAATGTTTACATCTTGCGCTGTAACAAGCACAAACCTCTCATCCATGAGTATGTGCACGCTACTTTCTGCTTTCTCACAACAAGGTCTGTGGATTATCTTGAGTAACTGCCAGAGAGGGCAGACATTTCTAAAGCCCATGTCTCCAACACAACACTCTCCAACTCACACCAAAACAATCTAGACTGATGAATAACACTACAGGTAAGAGGACAAATATGGGACAGTTACAGACAGACAGAGGGACAGTCACCTAGCTGAGAGTCGGGGACAGCTGAGGCTGGTGTAGGGAAGTCCTTCCTCTGCTGCTCCAGACGCTTCCGCCTGTCCATCTCCTCCTGTTGAGCAGCCTTGGTCCCAGCCTCCAGCTGGTCCTCTTTGAGCAGCTTCCTGTTAGCATAATGAAAAATTTCATTATATATACAAAAATTTAAGTTTTTATGTAATACACCTGAGGCAAATATCAAACAGGTAAAGGTACCTGATATTCTTCCTCATGTGTGCAGGCTTAGATGGCTTGGGAATTTTGGAGCCTTTTGAAGACTTTGAAGATTTGGTTAATTTCGAGGCTTTATGTTTCTTTGTTTTGCTGGAAGGTGGCTTGCTCTGGCTCGAGTTCTCTGGGCTGGTTGGAGGCTGAGAGCGAGAGGCAGGTCTGGACGGAGCCCTGGAGGACGGGCGGGACGCAGGCTGAGACGGAGGCTCTGAGGATGGCTCTCCGGAGGTAGCTGAGGTGGAGTCCCGGCCATCTTGAGCTGTTTCCGTCCTGCTCTGGGCGCTTGCAGGTCGTTCTGGAGAGAGACAGAATAGACAGTGTTTCAGTCTTCAAAATCTATTTTAGTGCTTTAATGCATTAGACTAATAAAAGACACAAGAGAAGTTCATTTGTCACTCACCAATACTATCATCTTCATCGTCTCCATCATTTTCATCCTCATCTTCCTCCATGTCCTCATTGTCCTCCTCTTCCTCATTGTCCAGATACTCCTCTTCACTGTTAAGGCTGGGCTCCAGGTCACTTTCTGAAAGCGCCTCTTCAGACATGGCGTCTTACAAGGCTCTCAAAGTATTACCTACACACCTTCATTAGGAGCCCTGAAATAACAAAAGACACCACATCGTTACATCACAAAGGTGAACTTAGTTATCTGACAGTGAGATTTTACAACTGGCAAATGTTTGGTATTTTTACTTGATGAAATATTTGCAATATTAATCAAATATGAAAACTGCCTTAGACTAATTTTGAGTGACAGTAATTCTTCAACCACTGACTACAATGCTTGAATTACTAAAGCAAGTTACACAATAGATACAGACAAACATCACACGTAAAGGAAAAAAAAACTTCCCAGCATATAACAGGTTTCATTATTGATGTTTTTTTTTCCCCCCCGACTTGCCCGGTTGGTCAAGTGAGTCAGAAATGTATTTGCCTGACGTCAGTTTTTACATGCCTTTATACAAATTGTTTCATTAATTAGCCGTTGTATCAACAAAGTCTATAGCTAGGCTAGTGCTTAATTCTCTTTTGTTTGAGTTGCTTGATTTACAAGCCCAACGTGGCATTTTACTTGCCCCAGGCGATAGGGCAATCCTTATTGTTGAGCCCTGCGTAATGTGCCAGATTTTGAATGACTAATCTGTGACCTGAGACACCTTAAGCATGTCAGATATAATCTGGGGCCGGACCATTGGGAGCTTTGTACAGCAGGAAGAATCTTGAATTCACTTCTGTTATGAAAACGAACCCAGCAGAGATGTTTGAGAACTGCAGGGATATGATTAAATTATTTGGCCCTTATGAAAGTAAAGGACAGTATTTTGAATAAGCTACTGAGCTAACTGTGAGGGGATCCAATTAAATTAGAATTCTGCTTCCACTTTACCTTAACTTCAACTCAACTTTGTTCCTAACCCTTACATTCATCTCTGCAATGGCAAATCATAACCTGCCTTTATTCTAAATCATGCCCTGACCCCAACCAGGGAGAGCAACACTATTCGTAAGACCTCAAAACAAGAACATTAATCTAGTCTGCTGACGACAAAGGTGTCAACGCGTGTTTCTGATTCTGACTGGGTCGGTCAGATTCAGAAATATTGTTTCAAAATTCTTTAAAATATTCCCGAGATGCCTGAAGGCTACCTTGGTAATGCTGCCGATATGTACACAAAAATAAAGGCCAGCATCAATTACAACTCAGTGGTTTTTAACTTGATCATGGCCCAAAGACATACAAACTTTTAAATGTTTTGGTGAGGTTACAGATGCAAACCTAATATCTGACAGTAAAATACACTGAACAAAAAAGAAACGCAATGCTTGTTTTTGCTCCCATTTTTCACAGGTTTAAGATCTACAACATTTTTTCCATGCACTCAATAGATATACTTCTTTCAAATGTTGGTCGCAACTTTGTTAAAATCTGTAATAGTGAGCACTCCTCCTTTTCCACAATAATTCATCCACCTGACAGGTGCAGCATGTCAAGATGCTGATTAAACAGCATCATTACTACACAGGTGTGCCTTCAGATGGTCACAATATAAGGTCACTCTAAAATGTGCAGTTTGATCACACAACACAATGCCACATATGTCACTAGTTCTGAAGGAGCGTGTCATTGGCTTGCTGAGTGCAGGTATGTCCACTAGAGCTGTTGATGTCCACTAAATGTTAATTTCATGACCATAAAACATCTCCAGTGTCATTTCTGTTCATTTCACAGTACATCCAACCATCCTCACAATCACAGACCACCTCTAGCCACACCATCTCAGGACCTCTACATTGAGACCAGCCACGTGAACAGCCTGGTTTGCGCAACCAAAGAATTTTTTCTGCACACACTGTCAGAAACCCTCTCAGGGAAGTTTATCTGCACGCTCATCGCCCTTACCGGGGTGACCTGACAGCATTTTGTCATCATAACAGGCTTGTGCAGTTGTGAGACCGGTTGGATGTACTGCTAAAACAACATTGGATACAGCTTCGGGTAGTAAAATGAACACTCAGTTGACAGCTCTGGTGGACATTTCTTTAGACAGCATGCCAATGGCACTCTCCTAAAAACTTGTTTTGCGTGACTGAACTACACATTTTTAAGTGCCCTTTTATTGTCACCACCCCGAGGTACACCTGTGTAGTAATGATGCTATTTAATCAGCATCTTGATATGCTGCACCTGTCAGGTGGATGGATTATCTGTGCTCACTATCATGGATTTTAACAACTTTGGGACCAAAATTTTAAAGAAATATATCAATTGAGTGCATTAAAAGAAGTCTCGGATCTTTAAATTAAACCCTATGAAAAATGGGAGCAAAAACCAAAGTGTTGCCTTTCAGTTTTAGTTCAATATACTGTATGGAAGTTTGCTCTTTGTGTGGTCTATTAGGTTGTTGTTATAACTAGCACAGTGTGTTTACATCAGTATATATCAAGCACTGAGTGTCAGACAGCGTGTTCATCTGTGCGGAATTTAATGTTCAAAAAAATGTTTAACTCACCGGTACATATGACGTGACACATGGGAGGGACTTCACCCAATGGCTTTTGAGCCGAGGATGAAGGAAGCTAGCAAGTAGCATGAAGCTACCTCTGGATCTTATCTGTTATTATGATGTCGTTATTGCTAATTAACGTTAACACCAATCACCTGTCGTTAGCTGGCTTCCTAAATGAGTGCATATAAACACAGTTGTTCCTCGGGCTGAGTCAGCAGCCCAATGTGCTAGCTAATTACACAACAATAAACCCAAATTCAAACGTTAAAACCACGTTAATTGTTGAGCCGTTCATTGTCCGTTAGTGGCAACGCAGACGGGGGCTGCTGGCTGTGACTCAGGCTGGAAGAAAAGGCAGCTTTCCGTGTCGGACCGACTGTTTTGTTGGCTGCTGTAGCAAGATAACAATCTTATATTGTGTAGGTGTAGCGTCCCCGTAGCTAATGCTAGCCTGCATTACAACAAGGCTAACCGACAGTAAGGTGAGACGCGCCGGATAAAGTCAAACATCGGGCCGGTGTTGGCTCTTACCTTGTCCGCGGCTTCGCTCGACTCTTCAGGAAACCTCGCTGTGCACACGACCGACCAATTAATTTGTACAGTAACTGTGAAAATGAACTGATAAACGTTGCTAATTTCCAAAATTTTCCAGTGTGACCATAAATGCCGTCCCCGCATAGGTAGCTCCAACTATGGTTCCGGGGGTGGAAAAGCGCGAAGCACATAAAAATAAATAAAATGTTAAACTCTTTTTTAAAACCTTCTTTATTCAGTCATTATAAAATGATACAAAAGCATGGAACAAAGAACAAACGGGGTACATAAAATATACAAAAATGGAAAAAGAAGTTTTTAAGGCATTGTAAATGACCATAGTCCTAATGGGTTTCTGATTTGTCAGACCTTTAAGTGTTTCAAACTAAAATTAAAAATGTACCACTATGATGAGAAGATTTAAAATAAAAATAAATAGATAAATAAAATAAATAAATAAAAGACATGCCCTGTGTCTCTCTCCTGATTTTTTCCATGATTTATTTCCTCTACATTTTACTGTTTTTAATGTTTTTAATTTAATTTAATTTAATTTATTTTTATACAAAGGTATTAAAATTAACATTATGTATTACAGGTGAAACTGGATTGACTCAGTTATAAACTGGTTTTCAGCACATTCCTGTTGTTATTTATTTGTTATTTAGGGCAGATTTAATTCTTGTTATTTCATCTTTTTACCTTTTAAAAATTGCCGTTTTTAATTCTTGATAGACATTGCTGCTAGTATTTTGTTTTCTAGACTTTTTTTCATCATTCTATTGCAATTGCCATCATATATTTATATCCTTCTAGCCCATTGACTGTGAACTCTGGTCAGTTATACCCAAATAAACAATGGTTTGATGATTATTGATGATAATAAAAATAGTATCTCTTTTCTGCAAATTAATCTTAGTTCCACATTACAAGTCAGAAACAGATTCAACATCAATCCAGAAGAATTTTAAATGAATGTATTTGTATGTAAAATGTGTAATTGTTTCTTTGCCAGTATTACAAGACACACAGGTTTCAAAAAGATAATTTCTAGACGAAGTGATTTGTTGGATAGATTAAGTGTATGATTTTAAAATTCACTTTACAAACCTTATTGTTTACAAACTATATGTTATAGTAAGTCCAAATTAATTTCAAGTCAATGATCTCAAAGTGACAATGCCAATAGTGTTTGCAGCAAGATGTTGCAGGCCAGTGTCTCATATGTCTACAAAATTTATTACATTTGTTATCCTTTATGTTGATGCAATTTAACAAAACATCTGTCTTAAACATTGTCTGATCATGAGACACTTTGCCTCCCTGCAACAGATTTAAACAACATGTAGGATCTGTAGCAAATCCTATAATGTTGTGCAGGTATTGGGATACAAAAGGTCTTTGAGAATTCAGTGTATGTAAATAACTGACCATTTTCATTCATCAGCTGTGATATCAGCAAAAATATTATATCTTAATGTCTGCAACACTTCAAGTCCAAATTATACAGTGTGCTAAATATAATAAAAATAGATATGTAATCTCAAAAGACAAAATAAACAACTATTAGCTACGTCTCAATGAATATACCCTTTAATCCAGTAGATTATACCAAACAAAAACGGTAAACTGGGGTATTTTGAATATTATATTGCACATTACATGTCTAGTACTGTTTACGAGTATTAATATTTCCATAATTTGAGCCCTGGGTTTGGCGTGCATTAAATATACCCTATTTTTCCGCTCTATATGGCACGTTAAGAAAGTACTGTGGAGCTGTTTTTGAGAAAAGACCTCATTTTAATTGCCACAGGCAAGAAAGGCACATTATATTTACCTAATCGTTCAAGTTGCATTTCACCCTCACTACTGTGTAGACTTTTCTCGGTATTAATTTACAAAGATGTTATAATCATTTAATACAATAGTACACCCAATAAACAAAACTACGTATTGCCTGATTGATTGATTGATTGATTGACCGGCTGATTGATCCATTTGTTGTAGTTCTGCCTCCCGGAAGTTGCAGGGAGGACGTGTTTTAGCGACCACCCGTCGTGTCTTGATGACGTAGTTTGTAGGCGGCCAATTCTGTCTATTGTGTTTATCTTGAGCTCTCCACAGTTGACTCGTGAATGGATACAGCGTTACCGTTTAAAATTATTACCCCTGTTTCGGACATGGACTGGAAACCATCTTAGGTAGTAACGTTAGTCAGCTGTGCACAAATGCGAAAATGAACAAAGGGTGGCTGGAGCTCGAGAGTGATCCAGGTGAGACATGTCGACACACAACACAGCTAACTATCGTTAGCTTCCACATAAAGCCAGAGGGACACTTTAGCTTCCTAAGCAGCTTCACTAATTAAGTTTAGAAAGCAACTTAAACGAAGTACAAAATTATAAAGCTATTAAATGTAATGTGCATGTGTCTTTTGTTTTGCGTGTTGATGGAGTTCGTAACCTGAGGCGAAACATGGGGAGGAGTACCGTTATTAGCAGAAATAATACGCTGGTCTTTGATTTGTTTTCTGATGTTTTCTATGAACTCTAAATAAAATGTTTCATAATTTCAGGGCTCTTCACTTTGCTGGTTGAAGACTTTGGTGAGTAGCTCATATACAGCAGCTAAATCCTTTAACAGTATCGCAATGTGAATAACCAATATACACCAATCAGCCACAACAATAAAACCACTGATAGGTGAAGTGAACAACACTGATAGTTTCCCTAAAATGCAATGTTCTGCTGGGAAACCTTCTGTCCTGGCATTCATGTGGATGCCTCTTGACACATACCACCCACCCATACACCAACCAGACACCACAGGGCACCCCAGAGATGCTGTGTCCATTCCTCGACCGCTCAAAGCCAAGTCCAATCTACAATGGGGCCTCTGACCTGCTTAGGCACAGACACAGGACTTCTGGGGTACCGCCACATCCCACAGATGTTCAATCAGATTGGATCTGGGGTCATTTTGAGGCCAGGTTGACACCTTGAGGTCTTTGTCAAGTTCCTCATGCCATTTCTGTGCTGTTTTTGTGGTGTGGTGTGGTGCAGTGTTCTGATGGGGGGGCTACAGCCATCATAAAGTGCCGCTCTGGATCTGTAGTGGTGTTTGGGTAGGTGGTGTGTGTCATGTGGCATCCACATGAATGCTGGGATCCAAAGTTTCCCAGCAGAACATTGCATTAAAACAAGATGACCAATGTTATTTACTTCACCAGCCAACGCTTTTAATTTTTAAGTTAATCGGTGTATATTTAACTCCATGTGGGGTCCTTGGGAATTAAAATGTTTCTGTGTGTGTGTGTGTGTGTGTGTGTGTGCGTCTGTCTCTGTAGGTGTCAAAGGTGTCCAAGTAGAGGAAATCTATGATCTTCAAAGCAAGTGTCAAAGGTATTTATCTTCTAACAAATCCGGTCCATGCAATTCTGTTTAGTAAGTCACGATTGCATGTAAATCAAGATTTAAACTACTTATTAGGTATGTCAGGTGGTGACGTCCGAGCTCATGTATGAATATAAAAAGTGTTCATTTTCCTACACCATGTTGGACTGTAGCAACATGTGTTAAGCATCACTTTATTTTTTAGTCCCGTCTATGGCTTCATCTTCCTGTTCAAGTGGATCGAGGAACGTCGATCCAGGAGGAAAGTTAACACCCTGGTGGATGAGACATCGGTCATTGATGAGGAAATAGTAAATGACATGTTCTTTGCTCATCAGGTAAGTGTTTATGTGATCTCGACAGTTATTGTAGTTATTGATGTGACTTTTGATAACTGAACAACTGGAGTCAGCAAACCTTCTGCAGATTTCTATCAGAATTAATGCAGTCCGTGATGTAACTAGTAAGCTCCTGAGTACATTTTAATCATAGTCAAATGTAAATCTGTGGGGTGTCGGTGGCTTAGTGGGTAAAGCAATCATTTTAGATAATAATTGTTACAAACAAAAGTTTTCCGGATGCTGCTTATTGAAGTGGCAAAAATCATGACAGATGGCATTCATAACTTATCTGGCCTCAGAGTCATTTATGAAAATTTTTAGCTTATTTAAAGTATTTCATGTATTCATTTTATAAATTGTATGAACTTGTAAAAAGCAAGCAAATTGAGGTACTTCCAATCAGCTCTAACAGCAATGTTTAGTGTTTTCACATTATATAATAAACATTTTTTCCATTCTGTAACTTCAATTAATCAGCTATCAATCATTTCAGCACTGCTTCAAAATGAAATGTCCTAATCTCAAGAGACTGCACTGGTAAAATATTGCTTAAATAAAAATATATATGAGACCATGGATCAAAATATTCAGTAATAATTAAAGGATGTATAGTAATCCTAACATATATGATCGTTAAATCCATCCAGTATAGACGCCATAAGATATTTTGCTGCTTCCATCACTTCAAAACCCTAAGTCATATAGTCATGTCTTGCAATAATGTCCAAAGAAACATAGTTAACAAAATTCATACTCTAACTTAAACTTGTGTTTATGTGTCATTTTTTGTACCTAGCTGATACCAAATTCATGTGCCACCCACGCTTTGTTGAGTGTGCTGCTGAACTGCAGCGGCGTTGAGCTTGGCACCACCCTTAGTCGTATGAAGGCTTTCACCAAAGGCTTTAGTCCAGAGGTAAGATTTTTCTCACACTCAGTTGTGTATCTCTTTTATTTTGGTGTAAATCATTACTGTGCTTTATATTCACAGTTTTCATTTGAAAATCAGCTCTCAGACTTGTTTTTTTTTTTACTTTGGCTGTTACAGTCTAAGAAACCATAGTAGGTTGACAAAAACTATATCAGTAAGATAATCAGAGTTAATATTTAAAAAACACATTAGATATATAAAAACAGGCAACGGTAGCAAGAGCTTGCAAAGCATATGTAATAGTTTTTGTACCTCAAACATCATTAAAATTTCATATTTGTCAGCAGTCACCTGATTGGTCTCTTGTTCTCCCTCTCCCTCCTTCTCCCCTTCTGTCATGTTTAACTTTTGATTTTTATGTATTTTTCAGAGTAAAGGTTACGCAATAGGAAATGCCCCCGAGCTTGCCAGAGCACATAACAGCCATGCCAGGTAGGTTACAGTCAGTGGTTCCCTTTTTAA